CTACCAATGCCTGGCTGATTTTCAAGTTTTTCTTAATGACTTTTACTTTATATGTATGGGCATTTACCTGCACGTATGTCTGTGCACCACTTGTGATCATTGTAACAGTGGAGGCCCAAAGAGGGCATCAGATCCCCGGAACTGGAGTTACAGATGGTTGTGAGCTGCCATGTGGGTGCTGCATAGACACTGGATCCTCTGGAAGAGCAGCCAGTGACCTTAACTGCTGAGCCACCTCTTCAGTTTGAGACACTCCACTCCACCCCTACACTTTTTAGTTTTTTTTATTTTGTTCTTTTTTTGTTGTTTTGAGACAGTTTCTCTGTGTAACAGTTCTCTGTCTGTCTGTCTGTCTGTCTGTCTGTCTCTCTCTCCCTCTCTCCTCTCTCTAGCTCTCTATTTGTTTTCCCATGACAGGATTTCTCTGTGTAATCCTTGTTGTCCTGGAACTCACTCTGTAGACCAGGCTGTCCTCAAACTCACAGAGATCCACCTGCTTCTGCCTCCTGAGTGCTGGGATTAAACTATGTACCACTGTGCCTGGCTATTTTGTTCTCTTTTTTGCGTCCTTGTTGCCTAGACCTCACAGAGGTGCTCTGGCTCTGCCTCCCACGAGCTTTGATTACAGATGCATGCCATCACACCTGGCTTGTTTAGTTTTGCTATTTTGAGACAGGGTTTCTCTGTGTAGCCCTGACTGTCCTGGAGCTCACTATGCAGACCAGGCTGGCCTGGAACTCATAAGAGATTCTCCTGCCTCTGTCTCCTGAGTGCTGGAATTAAAGGTGTGTATCACTATACCCAGCTTGAGGAGTTTTTAGTTCAAGTAAGATCTTTTTTTTTTTTTTTTTAAGCTGGCCATGGAAATGCAAGCTGAGAGAGAGGATGAGGTGTCTCACACCTGCTTTGGGCCTTTCCTGAGACAATGGATACAGAGCTACTATGTAAGTTCCCAGAACTGTCAGCAGAGTGGACCCATTCACTCACCAGTGTTCTAAGTCAGTCCTGTAAGCAGGGGTTGAAAACTGCTTAACATGGAAGCCTGTGGACTAGCTGTCTGTCTCAAATCTGCTAAATTCCAAGTTAGCAGTCTCCTGGGTTGAATCTCTAGACCTGAAAACCAAGCCCATGCATCCGGGTGGATTTCAGATGGGCATAGTTGTCACTAGCTTTGTCACCCCATTTAGGGCACAGTCCACTGGGGCCCCTGAGATGAGGAACCTGGGCAGTCAGTGTATTTGACTGTGTTCATGAATTTGTTCATTTCAAACACGGGAGTCAGGGGTTGGGCACACAGCTCAGCTGGCTAGAGTGCTTGTCTATCACTAACCCTGGGTTGGAGGCCCAGGCCCCTATAAAACTAGGTGTGATGGTGCATGCCTTAATTCCAGCACTTGGGGAGGTAGAAGCAGGCTTAAGGTCATCCTTAGCTACATAGTAAGCTTAAGAGTCTCTTAAAATTCAAAGCTAGTACTGGAGAGATGGCTCAGCAGTTAAGAGCACTGGCTGCTCTTCCAGAGGTCTTGAGTTCAATTCCCAGCAAACACATGGTGGTTCATAATCACCTGTAATGAGAGATCTGATATCCTCTACTGACCTGCACACACATATGCAGGCAGAATGCTGTATACATAATAAGTAATTAAATTAAAAACTAGAACCGAGTACCACATTGATGGGCAGTGGGTTATGGTGGAAAGGATGGCTGTAGATGTTCTCTCTTTAGAGATTATGAACTGTCATGAGCAAGGGCAAGGCACAGTGGCCTTTAATCCCAGTACTCACTGGGCAGGCGGAGGCAGGGAGATCTCTGTGAGTTTGAGGTAAACCTGGTCTACATGGCAAACTCTAGGATGATCAGGATTACACAGAGAGACCTTGTTTCAAAAAGCAATCACAAAAATCTTAAGCAAGATATAGGATTGGGACTGGAGAGATGACTCAGACGTTAAGAGCACTGGCTGCTCTTCCAGAGGTCCTGAGTTCAATTCCCAGCAACCACATGGTGGCTCACAACCATCTGTAGGGAGATCTGGCGCCCTCTTCTGGCACACAGGTGTACATGCAGATTGAACACTGTATACATAATAAATAAATCTTTAAAAAATACTTAAAAAAAGATATAGGAGTGAGTGAAGTTTAGACTGAGTGAGAAGCAATCAGTCCTAAGAAGAAAACTAATCAGGAAAGGGAGGCAGCTACGATTGATTTTGATAAAGCAGCCACAGAATGCCAAGGGTGACATTTGCATACAGATCTGAAAGAAATGACAAAACGCCAGGGAGGTGTGTGGGGCAAGAGCATGTCAGGCTGAGGAATGGCGGGTGCCTTAGCCTTGCAGGTAGGATCGGGCACGGCTTATTCAGGAACATGGCAGCCAGCGTGGCTTCCTTAGAGCTGAATCAAGGGAGGGAGTTGAGGGTGAAGGCAGAGAGGTCTTGGAGACATTAAGAAGGTTCTGGCCTGCACTCTGAGGGAGGGGCCTATTGGTGGCGTGGAGGAGGACCATGCAGGCTGGTACAACAGACCTGAGCCGCCCTGATCAGACATCTATGCTCCGAGGAGGTGCCAACAGGGTTTAGGGCTGAGCTGTTTATAGGGTGTGAGAGGAGTCCTCGTAATGGAGGGAAGACGGTCCCTGCTGGTGGTCCCAGATCAAGGGCTTCACCATCTGGGATTGAAGAGGGAAAACATGAGCCTTTGGAATCTTCTGGGAGGATAGGTACCTGGCTGACTCGACTTTGATCTGGGAGCAGTCTCGCCCCGCCCCCTCCTGAGACATCCCATCTTCTGCTTGCATCACCTTTTCTTTTTTTTTTTTCTTTCTTTTTTTTTTTTTTTTGGTTTTTCGAGACAGGGTTTCTCTGTAGCTTTGGAGGCTGTCCTGGAACTCACTTTGTAGACCAGGCTGGCCTCGAACTCACAGAGATCCGCCTGCCTCTGCCTCCCGAGTGCTGGGATTAAAGGCGTGCGCCACCAACGCCCGGCCTGCATCACCTTTTCTGGCCTCAAATTTGCTTCGTAGCAGAGAACAGTTTTAAACTTATGATTCTCCAGCCTCTACCTCTCTAGTGCTAGGATTGCAGGCACGCACCAGCATGCCCCATCAGATATGGTGCTGGGGTCCAAATTCAGGGGCTTGGGCTTGCCAGTGGACAGTCTACCAAACAAGCTACAGCCCAGCCCACATTTAACAAAAGTTTTTTGTTTTCCTTCAAGACAGGGTTTCTCTGTATTTGGAGGTTGTCCTGGAAATTGCTCCGTAGACCAGGCTGGCCTCAAACTCAGAGATCCACCTGCCTCTGCCTCTGCCTCTCAAGTGCTGGGATTAAAGGTGTGAGCCACCAAGGCCTGGCCACACAAGGGTTTTTTTGTTTTTTGTTTTACTTTTCCGAGACAATGCTTCTCTGTGTAGCACTGGCTGTCCTGGAACTCTCTACAAACCAGGTTGGCCTCTATCTCCAGAGTGCTAGGATTAAGGTACTGCCACCACCACCAGGCACAAGTTTTCTAAAACTTTTATAAAATAATCTATCTCATTGTATTTCTACTGAATGAATGTGCTACCCTTTCTCACATTTCCCTCTCCCGTTGTGTATGTGGGTTTCTGCCCTAACCCTCCAACCATACTCCCCTGGCACACACAGTTTATAAAGTACTGTTCTCTGCAGTACTGGGTATTTAGTGCTAGGCAAATACTCTACCACCCCAGCACTACCTACTAAAGTACTTGCCCAGCAGGCAGGAGGCTCTGGGTTTGATCCCGTGCACCCCATAAAGTAAGCATGGTAGGGCACATATGTAACGCTGTCACTGAGGAAGCGGGGGTTTCAAAAGTCCAAGGCCTGCCGGGTGTTGGTGGCGCACGCCTTTAATCCCAGCACTTGGGAGGCAGAGGCAGATGGATCTCTGTGAGTTTGAGACCAGCCTGGTCTACAAGAGCTAGTTCTAGGGCAGCCTCCAAAGCCACAGAGAAACCCTGCCTCGAAAACCAAAATAAATAAATAAAATGAATCAATGAAATTCAATTTTATAGCTAGCAATGCTGGCACATGCCTTTCAATCTTAGCATTCAAGGGGCTGAGGCAGGATCAGGGTTGAGGACAGCTTGGGTCATGTACTGAGATCTTCACCTGCATACCGTGATATGTGCTTGCACACACCGCAGAGTAAATGCAGTGAAAGAATTAAAGATACCCTCCCTCCCCCAAATACACACACAAACACGTAGATTGTACTTTATGACCCAGCAACACCACTGGCTTGAAAAAAAAAGGACTATAGGTTTGCAAGAAGCCACCAGTTTCTCAAAGAGCCACGTGGCATCTCAGATCCCTGAAACAATGACCTCACATCTAAGAAGTGTTCTTTTGCCACCTGTTGGTCTAAGCCACCTGGGGACCGGCCTGTGTCTGCCCGTGCCTGCTATGGTACCTGGCTTTGTCTCATGTGGGCCCTGGGATCTGAACTCAGGTCTGCAGCACTTTGCCAACAGCCCTCGCTTTACACAGGGGAAAGCTGAGTCTGTCCCCTGTGTAAAGCTGGACAGTCCCCAAGTGGTTTGGCTCTGGTTCACAACCCGGTGCTGCCACCCTTTTAATACAGTTCAAGTCGTGGTCACCCCAGCCAAAAAGCATTTTAACTGCTACTTCATAACTGGAAATCTTGCTGTTAGTTATGAATCATAATGCAGTATCTGTTTTCCAATGGTTCTAGGCAACTCCAGCGAAAAGGCTGTTTGGTCCCTGAGTGGCTGTGACCCACAGGTTGGGAACCACTGCTCTCCACTGCCACTGTTCTTATTCTGCACCAAATGCACACAAAATGCTCATCTCCAGCAACCTGAGTCAGTTCTCATGGCTGCTCATTCCTTCCGACTTTGGGTATATAGTGCAATGCTGCCCCAGTACCTGGGCAGAAAACAGTTTAAAAGGCAGGGAGTAAGCAGGAAACAAGGACGGGAGCAAACTCAACTTATAAGAAACAGATCAAACAAAATCTTATGATAAAAACTTTATTATCTTAAATATCAAAGGTTTTACACATCACATTTTTCTTCAGAAAGTTCCTATTAAAGAAGAAAAATAAAATAAAGTGTTTGGATTATTCAGGGCTGACTTACATTTCAAAGTGTGACCAAGAAAAGAAAATCAAACTCAAAGGCATCTAGTGCGTTGAGCTGCAGACAGGTCCTAACCAGCGGTACAATGCAACCAGCTCTGGGGTTACAGAGTACAGTCCCGTAAGTTCAAGCATTTGGACAGGACTGGGACACTGGCAAGCAGACTGTGCCAACCAGCCTCGCTTCAAGAAAAGCCAGGAAGCCTCGTGATACACAGGCAACTGCAAGCAGCAAAGTGGGCTTCCTAGCTACGGTATGCCAGATGGCGCTAGGAAACCACTGAACAAGCCTTTGCTGGGGGGGTGAAGTTGCCAGGCTAAATCACCATGAAGAGATCCAGACACAAAAGCACAATTAGTGTCTCATGAAAGGGTCATGATATGGAGTAGATTCAATAGACACAAGGGATTCCTTTGATGTCTTGCCAGAACTGAAGACACCCAGGGCAGGGGAGCGCACAAGTCTAAGCACTGGGGTGGAATGCTGTGAGCCCATGTATTGTCTCCCAGGCTTTACGGTCCAGTCAAGGAGCCCATAACACAGATCTGGCTGGCTCATGTAAGAACATAGGTCACCTCTGCAAGCCATTAAGTCATTCATTTAAGGTTGCAGGTTGTGGGACACCAAGAAGTACAATCACTGCTCATCACCTCAATAGGCCCAGGGAAAATGCCCCTTACCCAAATCAGCCACTCACAGCTCTGTAAGAAGCAACCTGATCTTGTACTACATGACATCTCCCAATCTGTGGTTCAAACTTGGCAGGTAAGGAAACTCCTATGTTCTCAAGCCATTTTCTTGGTACATTTCCCCAGATATTGTCCTAAAACTTAGCAGTCCCCCACCACGCTTCAACCCCCTTACCCCCCCAGTCATAATTACTGCTTAACTTTTGAGCGTATTTCCTAACTGTGAAGCCCAGAAATCACTAACAACCTATTTTCCTTTTATGCTGCAGGAATGCATGCATTGGGTTGGAGAATGTCTTCTATGCTGCAGGAAGGCATGCATTGGGTTGCAGAGTGTCTTGTAGAATTCTGCAAAGCAGTCCTGCGGGCCCACCCCACCCATCCTTCACTATTCTTTCTGCTCTGGATTTCCATCTCCACACATTGCACTCAGCTGCCTTAAAATAGCACATCCCTCGGAGGCCTCTGCTGAGCTCTCCCAGATGGTCAGCATCCCGGTTGGAGGGTGGAGGATGCTGCACACCCACCTACCCACCCCTATCAGTGTGACATGCGAAGTCCTAAAGGGAGGGAAGGTCACTGCCACTCCTCTTCCATTCCTGAACTCCTCCTGGCCCACCGGCTCCTTTCTGGTTGACAGTATCACACACTGATTCCTCAGCATCTTCCCGGTTACTTCTAATTTTTATTTAAAATTATTTTTTCCTTGCAGTGTTGGGGCTCAAACCCTAGGCCTTGTGTGCCAGGCAAGCATGGAGCCACACCCATAACTGTCCCCCCACTTTTTTGGAGACCAGGATTCATGTAACCAAAGCTGGCCTGAAACTATGTAGCCACGAACGACCTTGAACTTCGATCCTCCTCCACTTCGCAGTGCTTGGATTACATGCACACTGCATACCTGGACCGAAGGCTTCCTGCAGCTAGGCACTCTACCTATCAATGGGCTGCATTCCCCTACATCCTCAAGTGTTTTTTTATTTTTATTTACTCATTTTGAGACAACTCCTTGTGGCCCTGACTGGCCTATAAAGGTGTTCGTGACCACAACCAGCCCCTAACTGTTTAAACAATAAACAAAACACATCTCTTCTCAAAAACAAAAACATGCCAATAGGTAAAAACAGACCTAAGTTAAAACTTGCCACGTCTCTTCTAGACTGAGGGCTTCTAAGGCCAGGCTCAGTTTGGTCCAGTTGCTGCTAAGCTTTCAGGCATCAGGGCACTCAATGTTTGATGAACAAATCAATGGGTTCTTTCTTACACTGCATAACCTGACAGGAGTCAATTTCCTATCTAGGATGCAAGATTTGATTTCTCCCTAACAGCACAAAATACACAACAGAAAACCTAGGAATCACCTGGAAGCCATTTTTGGTTTACAGAATGCAGAAACTCCTGTCTGGGGAGACCTAATCTTTGATGCAGGGAAAGAGTGAATCAATGTGGTTACAAATCAAGGACCACACCCTGTGGCCAGCCCTCTCCAGGAGAGCTGTCCTCTGCCCTTTCCCTGATACCCCCAAGATGTGATGCTTCTGCTATTCAAAAAAATTAAGGCACAAAAGAAAAGCAAGTACATACAAGGCTCACCCCAAAGTCCTTACTGAGGCTCTGCCAACACTTGGGGGGGGTTAAGTAACTCACAGGAGCTCATTGCCAGTACTCAGGGACCCCAAGGTCCTTACTGTGGCTCTGCCAGCACTTGGGGGTTAGAAAACTCACAGCTCAGTGCGTTGACTCACAGGAACCGCTGTGTTGACTTTCTGCTGTCAAGAGGAACACAGTCACAGGAAACACAAAATGCTATCTTAACTACTGAGACAAGACACCTCCGCTCTTCAGGAATGGTAGCCTTTGCCTTTGTAGTCAGTTACAGACTCTGCTACCAAGAACAGATTTTACTTTTATTTTTTGGTGGTAAGCATCAAACCGTAACCTCACATGTGATGAAGGAGTGCTACCATTAAGCCACCAAGCCCTACCAGTCAGTTCAGGCACAGGCAGCAATCGGAATGCACTGGGTGAACTGGACACGGTAGTGTGAGCCTATAATCCCACCATTCTAGAGGCTGAGGCAGGAGAATTGCCATGAGTTTGAGGACAGTCTGGGTTATGGCGAGATTTTATCTCCAAAAACAAAACACCATACAACAAAAACGAAAATTTGTCTGACTCTCCTGCACAGTTATTTGCAAGGCAATTTATTATACACACAGTAGGAAGAAAAGCAGACATCTGTACACATAAAAGCTGCTCTTCAATCTATGCGAAACATTTGTCAATCACCTTATAGATGATAGTTTACATATTTATGTATAGACATGAGCTGAAAAGTTGAAACAAATTCTTATGGCTTTCACTAGAGATAGAAAGCTGTAGAGAGGGATGGGCAGGCAGATGCTATACAAGCTGGTTATAAAACCAGTGACACCAGGTTCCCTACCCCATTCCTAGGCACCTTCTTGCCAGAGAAATGCTTTGGGTAGAGGACTAGGGTTTGAGGCTGAGGTTTTCGTACATTATTCACCATCTACTCAATCTTCCTTTGACAAACAACTGGTCTCATCTTCATCTATCAACACCCAGAGCCCAAACTGTGGGATGAAGGCCTTCGAAGAACCAAAGGGCCAAGTCTCCAGCTGCAGTTACACTGTCTGGCTACCAAGCCCCATTCCACACACCAGCTTCAGCAGAAGGCTTACAAGAAAATCCTCTTTGGTGCATACGTGGAGACCACCGCTGGAGGTGAGTGCCGACCACTGAACCTCCTGACACAGTTTGAAAAAGTTCCCCCATGTGGTTATGGCTGTAATCGGACATGCTAAACACTAGTATTCACAAGGATTTGATCTTACTCTTGGAAAACTGACAAGGAAGGTCAGCAAGTGTCATGTTCCTTAATGTCCTCTGTCTTAGGACTGCTCAATTTAAGCCAATCAATTTCTAACTTTACAAATATCAGACAAAAGATTCTTTTTCCCTTTTCTGTTTTTAGACAGGGTCTCACTAATGGAGCTCTGGCGGCCTTGAACTCACAGAGATCAGCCTGCCTCCTGGGGATAAAGATATATGTGAGCGTTTTATTTTTTGACAGTGTTTAAAAATCAAAAGTAACAATCCAAAGGAACCAAGTAATTGGCAAGTGAGCTAAGCTCAGTTAAAGGATATCTGTGTAACTACTGCTCTAACAGTTTGCTTCTACAAATAAACACACATGTAGGTATATTATAAGCTACTGTAGCGATGACACTGGAGATGACACTCTTGCTTAGGGGTATCTCCCAAGAACCCACATTATAAAAAGTCGGTGGCCAGCCCCCTGGGCTTGCATGCCAGGTTCTTCTGCTCAAAAAGCCTTCTGGTGAGACTGTCATCAGTACCTTCTCTATCCACCCCACCGTGTGGCCCCAAAGATTTGTAGCCCTAAGACACTCTTCACCCCCAACAAATCCACGTCTCACTGGACTGCTACTTGGTCTTGCTTTAATCTTGGGTGACAGAATCCTGGGAACAGTTTCCCAGTGTATCACACACACACATCTTTGGTGCAGAACACGCAGACGGTGGACAAGCTGTACTTGTCTGAACTTCTCGGCTAGCCTGATGCTCTGAGTGCCTAAAGGAGAGGAGGAAACCACAGGGCCATCCAGCAACCATTTCCTAACTCCAGAGAGGAGCATGACACTCCGTGTGACTTGCCACCATGTCACTGAAGTGAGTCTCGGCACACAAACAAAATGGCACAAAGAAGAAACAGATCAGAGGACAGATCCTTGTAAGTGTCCCTAAAGTTTCAAGAACTCCTGAGATATGACCTGTCTGTGCTCGGTGACTTCAATTTTGATGGTAAGAATGAGTGAGAGAGAGAGAGAGAGAGAGAGAGAGAGAGAGAGAGAGAGAGAGAGAGAGAGAGAGAGAGAGAGAGAGAGAGAGAGAGAGAGAGAGAAGACAGACACAGACAGATAGACAGAGACTGACTTTAGACAAACCACCAGTTAATGCTAAGTTCAGAAATCCATTTCAACACACTACACCTCTCACTGGAAACCAGGAATTATCCTCAAGACCCTTAAGATTCCAGATTCCTGCCAGACATAGAAGACAACAGCTTATATTCCAGGAAAAGGATGCTTTCAAACCTCTCTGGAGGGATTATTGCACAGTGGGGCCCACAGGACTTGCAAGGTGAGAACATACACTAAAAAGGCCACAATAAACACATCTACGCATTCTGCCCCACTCTGACTCAACGTGAGAACACAGACATGGATCCTGCTTAGAAAATAAACTCCTGAGGAAAAAAAGGGATGGAAACTGTACCAAGGCCACTGTAGTCACAACTTCAGCTGTATTCACCACCACAAAGGACACTCACAGACCGACCAGGCTAAGCACCAAGAGGACTAGGGACAAAGGTTCTCCCAGCTCATGGTCTCGCTCAGCTCAAACTGAGCATGGGAAGATGCATTTCAGAAGCTAGGCTCCTGGCAGCCAACCCATGAGTTGAATGTGGACTCACCATTTGCCAATGAGGGTTGGGGTGTCAGTGAGATGTCCCCAAGCCTTATCTCTAGTACATTCCAGTGTTTTGTCTAAGCCATTATCTTTTTCTCACAGTCCTTGACATTTGCAAATGGAATTATGATCAGGTTTTTCCTCTTCCCTTTTTAAATACAAGTAGCACCATGTTTCACTCTAATGTAAATTTCCCCACACCCCACCCACCGTCTTAAAGGTATTAGGCAATCTATCCATGCAGCAGCCTATGATGCACAAGACTGTCCAGGTGTCAAGCCTTCCCGCTCACCTTATTTAAATGTCACCCCTGAGCACACAAGTCAACACACACACAACTCCAGGAGTTAATGACTTCTTCCCCAGCTTCCTGTTACAAGCCATATTCTGCACGCAGTACAACCAGAGCCACAGAAGGGGCTGATGTGTTCCTAGCTGAGCGGGTGGCAGGTTCCTCGTGGCTCCTGCTTTCCAAGCATTCACTCATCTAAAATGGTATGCTATACAGAAAACCATCCATTTTATTCCAGAGTACATCATCTTAATGAGAATAAAAAGCTTTTGTATGCACACACTGCCAATACATTTTAAAAGGCCCAAAATTTAACAAGTAAAATAGACAAATTCATCAGACAAAAGATCATAAATTACTTTGGCCGGGGGGGAAAAAATCTGGCTCAACATTTTGCTTGCAGGTTTCTACATATACTGTGTATGTGTGTGGTGAGTGTATCTGTGTGGAGAGGACTTTCACAAAGGGAATGGAATAGGGTCTGGCCCACTTTCCCACAATTATGTAGGGACTACAATGTTCTTTGCTAGCAAAACAAGAAGTGCAAGGTCTGCATTCCCACCAACTCGATGCAAAGCCCCAAGGGCTTCCTGCAGAGTGAAGCCAGCACCAAGAATCCGGTCAACATCCGCAGCAGGGAAGGTGAAAGGCGGAAGAGCGGACAAGGACTGTGAGGCAGGCGGGTCCAATCCACCGAAGGGTGGCGCAGCTCCAGGGCAGACATCACTGGTCTCCAGCCCGTCTGTGCTTGGATTCTGAACGTGCTCAGAAGGCTGGCTGTGAGTACCCTCCTCACCTCCTGCAAATGGGGGCGAGATTTCTACACCTGAGGTGCAATGCAACTCATCAGCTGGTTTAGCTGAGGTTATGGCGACAGAGCAGCTCTTCCTGACTGACTCCCTTGGCCTGGGAAGATCTCTGACAGTTGACAAACTATCGCCAAGGCCCCTGAAGCTAGTGCAAGCTCCATCTTCTGTCCCAGCACAAGGTGTGGTGTCTATCCTTTGTGACTCAGAGGTGGCCTGGGGACAGGAGACTTGTGGGTACTGGTCACTAGGGGTCAGATGCTCACTTCTAGCCCTCCTTCCTGAAGGGTCCAAAATACCAGTTTGGCTCTCAGCTTCCATTTCTGACTGACAGGTAACGCCTTCAGGTGCATTTTCTGAAGCTGGCCTACAGCTAATGACCAGAAGATCATGCAATTCTTTCAAGGCCACCGTGACAGATGAACAAAATTCTTCGGGTGCCTCCACAGAGGGCTGACCATGATCATTTAAGGGGGAAGATGAAGCGCTGTTATCTTTGCTGTCCATCGCAGACATTTCCACATTATCTTCTGGGGGATGGAAATCCCAAGTCGAGATGGAACGTTCCATGCTCTCACACGAGGGGTTACACTGTACTGTTTCCATCTCCATGGAGGGATTATCGCAAGTGAGATGAGATGCACCAGGGCTCTTGGAGCTGGCCTTCTGCCTGCCTGTTGAGCTGCAAACAGCAACCAGAGACGGTTCAACTGCATCGACCTCCATCAGGGTTTCTGAGCATGAACAGCTACAGTACCCTGAAGCGAGAAGACTCTCTTCTGTACTTAGAAGAGGCACACTTGTCTGTAGTTCATCTCTCGTCACAGCTTCCAAACTGACAATTTTCTCTTGGTCCTGTTGATTTTCTTCACAAAGTTCAAGGTCTTCTGTGTCACAAAGACATTCTTGGTCACGTGAAGCCTTCTGCTGTCCCTTCCCTCTGTGTGGTTCACTGTGCGGCTGAAGGCCATTCCCTTGACTGCGGTTCTGATTTTCTGGATGCCAACTCTTTTCTTCCAGAAACCCTTGTGGTTCATGCATCCCAGTAGTTGTGAGAGATAAACTAGCGTCTTGTCTTGTGTGGAGATAAACTCTGAGGCCCTGGGCTCTTCTCTCTGCAGATTTCTCTGGATTATCTGCAACAAATGCTTCTTCAGATGAATTATGCAAAGGCATAGCTGGATTCTGGCCTGCTGGGGAAGCGAGATCAGGAAGACCCTGCAGTGGAGGAGGAGGAGAAGGAGGAGGAGAAGGATCTGTTTTCTTAGAGTTTGTCTGCAATTCAGCCGAAGCCTTCATAGCCTCCATAGCTATAGGTTCAGTGCTATTGGGGTCACTGGGCTTGATGGCACAGACTGAAGCAGAGACAGAACGAGCAAGACTCGTAGAGCTACCAACCTCAGGACTTTGTCCTGAAGAAGGGGCTGGATGGTGGAATCCATCTGAAGTCAGCAACGATGACATTCCCAGTGAGGTAGATTCTTTACTGCTTTTCTCTGTTTTTGTTTAAAAAAAAAAAAAAAAAGGGAAAGAAAACAGATGAGTTAGCAAACCACATAATGACCAGAGAGTGAAACCTCTGCAGAATGGAAGCTACCCTTTAGTTTAGGTCTCTCTTACAAAAATGAGGCTCAAGAAAATACAAGAATCTTTCTGTGACAAATGAGGTGGCATCACCCCATGTGAGTGTCTCTTTAGGAAACATTAAAATTCCATATGCGGAGAGCTATTACCTGCAGTTCACAATGGCTGTGTCAGTGCTTACACTCAGATACTTATTCATGTGTGTTTACTTCAGGCAGGGTCTCTCCATGCAGCCTGAGCTGCTGGTGTGCGGGGTGGTGGGAGGATCAGAGATCCTCACATCTGCCTGCTGAGTGAGTGCTGGAATTACAGCTCAGGCCCCACAGCTGGCTCAGTGCACTTTCTCAGGTTTCAAGAGTGAGCACAAGTTACACAGAAGAAGCGCAAAAAAAAGCCAGAGTCTGGGGACAAGTGGGGCAACCAAGAGAGATGGGCTGACATGTCTAGAGACACCCAGAAGACAGAAGCCAGCAGTGGATTCAGTCCCAGTCAAGCTTCTAAGTCAGAGCAAAACTGAGCACCCAATACAAAGAACAAAACAAACCTAAAGATGAAGCAGACAGAATTTTATTCATCTGATCAAACACTACAACTATTGATACTGTTTGACAGGCAAGTCTTCATGTTTCCCAGGCTGGCTTCTAGCTTGATATATAAAGATGATCCCTTCCAGTGCTGGAATTTGGGTGCTCATCACTGTTCCCAGTTTATATGGGCGCTGGGGACCAAACTTAGGCTTTCTGTATGCCAGGAAGGCTCTCTACAAGTTCTGTCCGGTCTGAAACTTGCGGCATTCCTCTTGCTTCAGTCTGAGTGCTGGGATTACAATCCACTAACTAGCATGCCCAGCTTCTAAACACCACAACAAAACAAACAAGATTTAAGCTCTTGTTTTTTTTTTTTTTTTTTTTGTTTTACGAGACAGGGTTTCTCTGTATTGTTTTGGAGCCTCTCCTGGAACTGGCTCTGTAGACCAGGCTGGCCTCGAACTCACAGAGATCCGCCTGCCTCTGCCTCCCAAGTGCTGGGATTAAAGTCGTGCGCCACCACCGCCCAGCTAAGATTTAAGCTGTTTGTACAGGGGAGGGAGGGTGACCATAGTTTTTCCATAGGCAACAGTAACTTGGATTCACTCTAATTTAGCCCTTCAAATATGATGGCAGGCTCAAACACTAACTAGCTCAGGGCAGATGCCACGATGATACTACTCAATAGGTCCAACTCCTGGCACCATTAAAAATTTGCCTCTAAACACCCATAATGTCTTTAATCAAAAGGCACAGGCTGCAAAGAATCGGCTCCTGAGTTAAATTCAATTTGGATGCTTTGTGCTGAATAGAACCATCAGCGTGAGTGCTGGGTTTCTACTCCTCAAGTCCTGAGTCCTGCGGAGAGCAGTTAGGATTCCAACGGATGACACACTAATCAGAGACAGGTGAGTAGCATGGTAGGATGGCTGTGCAGAAGGCTGCTGGGCTTTCTTCTTTCTTTCTTTCTTTCTTTCTTTCTTTCTTTCTTCCTTCCTTCCTTCCTTCCTTCCTTCCTTCCTTCCTTTATAACATAAGAGGGGATCAGATCCCACTGCCACTACAGATGGCTGTGAGTCACCATGTTGTTGCTGGGAATTTGAACTCAGTGCTCTTAAGCTGAGGCAGGATTTCTCTATGTAGCCCTTTGTCCTGGAGCTGACTATGTAGACCAGGCTGGCCTTGAACTCAGAGATCCTCATCCTCCGCCTCCTGAGTGCTAGGATTAAAGGCACACCCTAGCAAACCAGGCTCTAGGCTATTCTTCAACTAGGGATTCTGCCACCCCCATTTATTTTTCAATTGCTGGGATCATAGGGAGGTGCTACCACACTTGGCTCAAATAAGAGAACTCACTATATAGACCAGGCGCATTGATTCTGCCTGCCTCTGCCTCCCCAGTGCTTGAAATAAAAGCATGGGCCACTGTATCCTACAGTTATTGACCCCCCCCCAACACATACACACAAGATATCTCTGTGTAGCCCTGGCTAACCTGGAACTTGATCTGTATTCAAAGGCTGACCTCAAACTCAGAGATCCATCTGCCTCTGCTCCCATTGGTCACCTGCCCCCCTAAATTGCTGGGGTTAAAGGCATGCACTGCTACTGCTGGCTCAGTTACTGACTTAAAGAACTATCTTTTCTTATAGTTTAGTGGCAAACAGGATAATGGTTTTGTCTGTTTAAACTACTCCATTAAATCTATGAAGTTCTTAAGTTTTATCAATCTTAGCAATGAGGGTGACTTTGAAAGAAGTTCAGTTTGTACTACCCCTGGCTTCAGTGTCAAGCACCTGCACAGCCCAAAAGGCAGGTGAGGTAACGAACGGTAAGCTTTAGAGCAGACTCTGTACTCACTATAGGAGCAGCATTACATGTCATCCTTCTGAAACTGAAATAGCCAGTACTACAGGGGGTTAGAAAAAGGAGGCTAATGGGCATTAACTATGCCTAATGTCCTTAAAGTGTGTGTGTGTGTGAGAGAGAGAGAGAGAGAGAGAGAGAGAGAGAGAGAGAGAGAGAGAGAGAGAGAGAGAGAGAGAGAGAGAGAGAGAGAGAGAGAATGAAATGTTATGAGTCTAATTACAACCAGCCACCAAACCCTAAAAGTTCTGCTTCAGATACAATCAGCAAATGGACTCAGACTAACACAGTCCTGCTGATAACATAGAAGTGGCAGCAGGTGCGTCCCACGGACAGAAGAGGCTAAGTCTCAGCTCTTACTGTTTGGGGAAAAAAAGTAAGTTTCACCACACAGTCCAGGCTGGACTCAAACCTCGGATCCTCTTGCCTCAACTGTCCATGAAGGGGATGGTAGGAGTACATTACCACACCCAGCCCACCTATTACGATGGCTCTGGATAAGCCATTTGGCTCAAGTCTCCATTTCTGCCCACTAAGAAGAAAAATTTGCCCTTCAAACATATGAGGACTTCCAGCTTTTCAAAGTAAAAGAAATTCACAAGTTATCTGCAACAAATTGCTGTGATACCAGTAATTGTGATTCAGGATTTTCAATTGTCAGAGGTGGTAGGTACAACAGCACTTTCTACTAAGACTCTCCTCATAAACAATAACATTTAAAGTAAGAACTTATGCCTACACATATATATGCCAACATACATGCAAATGTACATATATACAGGCTAGTTGTAACCAGACTGAACAGGGAGAAACAGAGACGGCAAGTCTTGACTTTCCAAAATGGTTCCAGACAGAGATTTTCAAAGCACAGGTGACAACTGGATGGTAGGTTAATGTGACGTCTATAAATACCTGGTCTGGGCCCACTCCAGCTGCAGCACACACACACTACATGCATCATGGCTTCTGACGCTCTGTTTGGATTAGGAAACAAACAAGCAAACGAGGGTTAACAATGCAGAACCACACGGCATGCAGGGCTGCAGTCTGCAATCCATCCCATCCTTAAAATCAGGAGCGAGGAGTCCAAGCTGAGGGATGTTTCCACAGCTTGGGCATTCCAAAGATTTGCTGGTTGTTTCAATTCTCTCCAAATAAACCAGCAGGGTTTCTACACCAAGATTTTTAACTGTACTTTTACAGCAATGATTCCACAGCTCTGCACAGATATTGGGGGCAAATGTGCGGCAGGCAAAGTCAAACCATAAAAGAGGTGCTTGAAGACCATGCTACAAAGGTTAGTGAATAGTACAGTAGCTCTCCAAATTCCTCAATAGTTCTATCCTTATTTCTTTTTTTGAGACAAGGTCTTGCTCTGTAGCCCAGAATGACCTAGAACTTGACATCCCAGAGTGCGGGGCTTATAAGCAGGTGTCAGAACACCTGGCTCATATTCACTTTCGAGAGATAAACCAAGTCTGATTAAGTCCTGGCTGTTGCCTTCTTCAATTACGCAGCACATAGACATGTTAGATAGCTCCTACTGACTGCCGACAGATTCAAAGGGTAAAGATACCCTGATAATTAGCCAACTAAATAACTTTCTAAAATACTTTTACATATTATGTCCAGAATTGTGATCTCAAGCAGTCGGTTCTCCAAATAAATCAAGTGTAGAATTCCACCATTAGAACGCTACAAAACCAGCATAGGTCACACGTGTCAGTAGCAAAGGTTCTGTGGATACAGTGCTTTCCAGAACTGATCGGCTCCTTCCTTTGCTGATGTTGAAAAGGACTCATCTACTTTAGCCGCCTCAACTTTAAGATGAGGCTAAGTGTTACTGGGTTAGGACTACTGCTGCCATCAGCTGGTGTTTCTCTCGTCATGGCACATAGCTGTACGGGGAAAGGGTATCTCAAAATGTCAGCATCCCATCTGAGCTGTCAAGTTACTGTCCATAGGACAAGGATGTGGATGAGTCCACTCATGCTGACCTTCCAGGAAGATTAAAGCGATTCCTGTAACTCAAAGCTCCCTCTCCTAAAAAAAAATACCTCAGTTGCAACTGAAACCCCATTTATACAAGGTAACCAAGGCCAATGCGCAAGTTCCACCAGCTACATGATCCCATTCCAGAAGTTCAGGACTACACACCTGCAGGTTCTCCAGGAAAACGTAACAAAACTTTTCAAACATACATTATTTTTGTCTTGAACAGAAAGTTATTCCATGAGCTTGTAATACTAGCACACTGTACCAGAAAGAGGAAAGTGTCAGATGGTTTCATTGATGAACAATCCTGACCCAAGACTTCAAGACAACTCACTTAAAAGTTATTTAATTTTGAATTTTAGGAAATGCACCCCTAACAGATTCACTGTTCTGTTAACAGGTTGCGAATTGCAGCAAAGTTGTCTTGATCCATTTTCCTCACAAGACTCTGCTCTTTCTGCAGATTAAGAAGGCGTTAGGGGAGCTTGGTTTCAAAGCATTGCTAAACGGTCTTAGTCTGGGACCTCAGCAAGCATAAATGCAATTGATTAGTCACTGGCTGTTCTCTTTGGTGGCAGCACTTTCAGGAAACATTTTCACTGTTTAGTCAAAGTGACAATGCCTTCCTTCAACTCAATAAACTGTGTTTCCAGGGAAATACTGCTGATCTTGAGTGTGTATGCTTACTGTAGAATTTCCTTTATGGATAAAACAGGATGTTTTAGAAGCATCTGAGCAAATGATGACCTAACCTTGAACAGAGCACTGGATCCTTGTTCCTCTTTTCCTTTTTATTTTCTGAGACAGGATCACACTATGTAGACCAACTTGGCCTGAACTCAGAGGTAGAGATCCAATTTGTCTCCTGAGTGCTGGGATTAAGGTGTGTGCCACCATTCCAGGCTCTAGTTGCCTTTTTTTCTTCTCTTAAAAATAACAAAAAACCAAAACAGGACATTGCCACACAGCCCAAACCATTCTGGAACTCAGTGCTCAACCTAAGCTGGGCCTGAACTTGTAATTCTTCTGCCCCAGACTGCTGCTATGACAGGTATGTGCCGCTATACCTAGATTCTTCTTTCTTTCCTTTTTTTTTTTTTTTTGTTTTTGTTTTTTGGGTTTTTTTGAGACTGGGCTTCTCTGTGTAATAGCCAGCTGTTCTGGAACTCGCTCTGTAGACCAGGTTGGCCTCCAACTCACAGAGATCCACCTGCCTCTGCCTCCTGAGTGCTGAGATTAAATGTGTACGCGACCACACCCAGCTACCAAGATTCTTTCTTCTTGATCTGTTGAAATAGAAGTCCTTTAAAGTTATTGATTATGATGGTACGTGTCTGTGGGTATACCTGGGTGAGAGCACAATGGCCTCAGGTTTCTAGGATTCTGTAGCAAGTGCCTTTACCTGTGAGCCACAGCAATGCAAACCCTGCCGGGCCTCTCTCCTTTTTGAGATGGGTATTCCAAGCAAGCCTTGCATTCTGATTATCCCATTTCACCTCCTGAGCGCTGGGATTCCAGGTGTGTACCACCTCACCCACTTTATGTGCCAGGGCTTCATATGACTAGGCAAGCACTCTACTTATCACGGTATTAAGAGATGGAAGGAGGAGTAAGACAGTGAACACACCTACTGCTGAACAATGAAGCCAATTCCTAGAAAGGTCTTTACCCCACTAATAGCACAGCACTATTCAAATGGTCAGCCCCAATACCTGCATCCTCTGCTGATTTTTGAATGGCTTCTGCTAATTCTTGGTCTGCAATCTCCTCCGGCCGTATGTCCTCTCGCCCAGTTCCATATGCCAAGCGGGCACACTCTGGGAGCTCCCCCTCAGGAAGGAAGGTGGTCTGTGAGCCTGTGGTGCCAATCACCAGCACATTTTTCTTCAAGTCAATCGAACACTTTGGAAGAAGAAAGCAAAGAACAACAGCAAATGAAACATCCTACAGAAAAACCGAGTATCAGTTCCACATTTAACCAATAAAGAACATTACCAAGAAGAGACGTGGTATAAAAATAAAAACAAATACAACCTTACCATATCGCTGAAAGCATCCATTTTTTACTTCTGGCTTTGGAGACAAAGTCCTGCTGTGTAATTCAGGATGACCTCGAACTCACTTTGTTGCCTAAAACAGCCTCCAACTCACCCTCACCTGACTGTGTGCCCCTGTATCTCCCTAGACGGTTCCTGATTTTAGACAGGCCCTTGAATTCGGCATGTGTAGCAGGGGCTGGCGGGAACCCCTGATCCTTGTCTATTAGACCTCTTGTTACTGTTTTTTTTCCGTCTTCTTACTTTTAAATGCACCAGACATGCATGTGGTGCATACATTCATGTGAACAAAACACATTAAAATAAAAATAAGTGTAAAAAATTTTAAGGTTAAAAATAAATAAACAAAACTGCTAATGTCAAAACAGACAAGTTTTGTTTTGTTGTTTGGTTTTTCGAGTCAGGGTTTCTCTGTGGCTTTGGAGGCTGTCCTGGAACTAGCTCTTGTAGACCAGGCTGGTCTCGAACTCACAGAGATCCACCAAAACAGACACAATTTAACTTCTCCCTAGAGGTTTTACAAGGAGAGATCTGTGCTCTTGTTCTGAGACAGGGTCTCACTGTACAGCTCTGGCCTCATAGATAGAGACCCAGCCACCACTCAGTTTTGTTCTAAGATTGAAATGCTAGGATCAAAGAAAGGCCCCTGCCACCACACCCAACAGACATACTCCACATAATGCCAGTCACCTTAACTCTGTACAACAGAATCTACCAAGGACACTCCCATGTTTGAAAACCAAGCTTCTTGATTTGTGCACCTAGCAGAAGAGCAGAGATGCATAGCAAGAGCAGCGCACTCAGGCCTGATGGCACACGCCTAAACACCAAGAGCAAGAGGCTGTTGGGGGAAGTCCTGTGCATTTGTCAATAAAGTACTGTTGAGCCTATAGGGAACCAAGATAGGAGGGACTAGGAGTCCAGGAGGATTCTGGGAAGGAGAAACAGGAGAGTCAACATGTAACGCCATGGGGGTAGGAAGCCTGGAACTATTCTCCGGTAAGAGACATACTTAGATTAACAATTATGGGGTAATTACTTAAGTCAGAGCTAGCCAGTTAGAAACAAGCAAGGCCAACAGCTACATAATTAATAGCTTGTGTGTTTATTTGGGGACTACAAAGCGGCAGAGCCCAGGCAATTGGCAGGAGATAAACCAAAGCGGCTAGCAAGGTAGAGCTTCCCTTAACAAGAGGCAGCTTGCTTTACGCGATGAGCTCCAGACATATCAGGGCTCCGTAACAAACCCCAAACCCATGTAAAAAGCTGGTGTAACAGTGTACATCCATAACCTCAGCACGGGGAATGGACACAGGAGGATCCCTGGAGCTGCTACCTTACCAGCCTAGCCAAATCAGTGAGCTCTGTGTTCAGTGAAACGTTATGTAAAACAAGTAAGCTGAGACAGAACAAGGAAGACATTGCTGTCAACCTCCAGCTTCCATGCACTCCACACACACCAACAGAAGTTCTTAGTTACCTGATGCCGTTTAAGCATGTCCAGTCCTAGAAGCATGTCCATAGGCTGTTCTTCGAGTATCGAAAAGGAACATGCCAGGAAATCGCCTTCAATCTGAACCTGAGCTAAAGCACAAGAACAGAAGATATTGATGTTAGCGTCACAAGCCCAGGGACAGACCCATCATTCTGTGCCTGGGCTTACTGGATTCAGTGCAGCCAAGGAAGGCACAACAATGAAACACTACCATTAGGACCCATGCTCAGCAGGTGAAGAAAGCAAGAATTAAGAGCATCAAAAAACAACACAAATAACGCTAGTAGTAAAGTCAATTCTCTGCTACTAACCAACAGCTTTCTATATACTTATAAAAGGTCTACCAGATGTTTGTGAGTATGTGTGTACATGGGTTGCTAAGGATGGAGCGCTCAGACACATTTTGCACAAATGTTACCTAAAGGGAGTAGAACCAGCATATTGTCAACCTTTACAGTTTTTGGTTTTTCGAGACAGGGTTTCTCTGTATTGTTTTGGAGCCTGTGCTGGAACTCGCTCGGTAGACCACGCTTGGTCTCGAACTCACAGAGATCCACCTGCCTCTGCCTCCCAAGTGCTGAGATTAAAGGCATGCACCAGCACCGCCCAGCAAGACAAGGCTTCTTATTGCCTGTTAGGACTAAGTTTCTTCTTTTCAAATCAGAGACACAAGTAAGGTCTGGCTTTGCTTGCAATCTCCTACTTCTCAGGTTAAAATTTATTTTTACTAGGGGCTGTTCTTTCAGAGGACCTAGGGTCAATCCCCAGCACTGAAATGACAGCTTACAACTGTCTGTAACTCCTGTTCCAGGAGGTCCGACAGCCTCATACAGACGCACATGCAGGAAAATACCAATGCACACGAAACAAAAATTTTTACTAGGGGATGAAGGGATTGCTCAGCAATTAAGAATTATTAGCTGCTTTTGCAGAGGACCCAGGCTGAATTCCCAGCAGCAACAGGGCAGTTCAAAATCACCAGTAACTCCAGTTCTAGGGACACTAAGCCCTTTCTGGCTTCTACAGGCACCAGGCACACACATGGTACAGATGTAAATACAGGCAAAAATCTGTACCATAAAATTAAAAAGAGATGTGAGATGTGTCCAATATAAGGCATAGCCAACAACCATGAATTTACTTTCCAGATGAAGAAAAAGAAAACCAAAGTGTGAGGCTGCCTCAGTGGTTAAGGGTGCTTACTGCTCTTCCAAAGGACCCAAGCTCAGTTCTCAGGACACAAGTTGGCAGTTCACAACTGCCTGTGACTCCAGTTAGCCTCTGCACACAAAATGGTATACTTACCTAGACATACACACATAAACAAAAATAAATCTTAAACAGAAAACCAAAGCCGGCGATGGTGGGGCATGCCTTTAATCCCAGCACTCAGGAGGCAGAGGCAGGCGGATCTCTATGAGTTTGAGACCAGCCTGGTCTACAAGAGCTAGTTCCAGGACAACCTCCAAAGCCAGAGAAAACCTGTCTCCAAAAACCAAACCAAGCAAAAACAAAAAACAAAAACAACAACAAAAACCAAAGTGTTACATTTCCTATATTCCTCATCTGTCTCCAATTCTAACTATCATAGTTCTATGTTAATCATTTTAGGCCTTTCTTGGACCTTTAGATAGTATCATACATATCTTTAGCTTTTGTTAGTTTAAAGCAGTATTTGTCCTTTCAAGTTCTGGAACTACAGGTGTACAATAGCACACGTACTCAAGGCAACCCCCACCCATATACACACAGAGTCTCTAACGTGGCCTCTGCTATCCTGGAATTTGCTCTGTAGCCCAGGCTGGCCTGGATTTATTGTTTTTTAAGTGAAAAGTTTTATTAGAAAGGGGAGGAAGAGGGAAGGAAAGAGAACAGAGGTAATGAGACAGAGAGAGGACCGAAGAGAAGAGGGAGACAGGAAAAGTCCTGTCTGCACCAGGAGAATAGAAGGAAAGAGAGAAAGAGCCTGGCCTGGAACTTAAGGATCTGCCTGCCTCTGCTTCCTGAGTGCTGGGATTTAAGGATCTGCCTGCCTCTGCTTCCTGAGTGCTGGGATTTAAGGATCTGCCTGCCTCTGCTTCCTGAGTGCTGGGATTAGATCAAGGGTATGCACTACCAGGCCCAGTTCTCAAAGCAAACTTCTTAATCTTGCTGGGCATGGTGAAGTTCAGAACTCTGTGAGTTTAAGGCCAGCCTGATTTTCACAATAAGGTCCCAAGTTAGCCAGGACTACAAAGAGACCCTGCCCCCCCTGCCCCACACCCTCAAAAGAGAATATTTAAAAAAAAAATCCAAATCTTAATCTTTTCTTTGTTTTCTTCATTATCCTCTCCTTCAGTTTTTTTTGGGTTAGGATCTCATGTAGTCCAGGCTGGCTTTGAACTCCTGATTGTCCAGGCTCTACCTGCCAAATGCTTAGTTTACAGGTGTATGTAAAACAGCTGAGACACTCTGCCTCTAAGCACGTGTGGTGCATGCACATGTGCAGGTGTGAGCATGTATGTGGAGACTAGAGTCTGACACTAGTGCCTTTTCATCTATTGCTTTCCGCTGCAGTTTTTGAAACAGGGACTCCCCATTTTGGCAGGACTGGATGGCATACCAGCCCCCACGATCAGCTGGTCTGTGCCCCCAGCACTGTAGCTATCTGTAGATAGGCTTACCATGTGCTAAAGCACTGGGTAACATCATGGAACTGAAGGGTGCATTTGCAGACTAAAAAAGCCACAAACACTTGAGTACAAGAAATGAAGACATCAGCCAATAGGTGATGGCACAGGCCTTTTAATTCCAGCACTCAGGAGGCGGAGGCGGAGACAGGCAGATCTCTGTGAGTTCATGATCAGCCTGGTATACAGAGCAAGTTCCAGGACAGCCTCCAAAGCTATAGAAAGACCCTGTTTAGAAAAAAAAGAAATGGCCAGGCGTTGGTGGCGCACGCCTTTAATCCCAGCACTCGGGAGGCAGAGGCAGGCGGATCTCTGTGAGTTCTAGGCCAGCCTGGTCTACAGAGCGAGTTCCAGGACAGCCTCCAAAGCCACAGAGAAACCCTGTCTCGAAAAACCAAAGAAAGAAAGAGAAAAAAAGAAATGAAGAGATCACACCCAAGTCCATGGACATACCCTAAGAGGAGCTGAAAGAGAAAGGGGCCACACAGCAACACGGATGGAGCATGGGGAGATTAAATGACTTCTGACCTAGTCAGGAGAGAGGGAAAGAAACCAACGCTTGGGTATACCCACAGACACACACCTGCTTACTTTCCTGTACAGGGCCATGTCAACCAGAGGTAACTGTGAAAGAACTTTAAGGTCAACCACTTAAAAAGAAGCAGCAAGTTGCCTGCCTTCACTCACCTAGATGCACCCTTCCAATAATCTTCTGTGTGCCTACTCCTTTGGCTATGCCAGCCCACCGACGGTCTACCAGCCTCATGATGTTACATCTTTCTGCACAAGCCTGGCTCATAATAGTCATCTGGGCCCCTGGAGGGAGAGAGAAATATCAAACTGTATAAAAATATAACCCACAAGCCAGGCATTGGTGGCACACGCCTTTAATCCCAGCACTCAGAAGGCAGAGACAGGTGGATCTCTGTGAGTTTGAGATCAGCCTAGTCTACCAAGCGAGTTCCAGAACAGGTTCCAAAACAATACAGAGAAACCCTGTCTCAAAAACAACAAAAAATATAACCCACATCTGTGGCAAGACTTCTGTCTCTGTAACATTACCCTACCCACAGCCCTTTATTTCTTTTTGCAAACTCCTCTACCCCACGTTTAGGATTGCAGATATGCACCAACACCCCTGCTTAATTCAACTTCCATTTCCACACCGAGTGTAAAACAGTACAGAAATCTGAGAGAAAGAGTATGTTTTTAATGGAATACTTGAATGATACTTTACCACAGGAAACAAGCTCATCTGGAAGTGATTATCTAGAATTCAAATGTCACTGTGTCCACAGACAGCAACGTTAAGTTAATAAGCACTTTACACTCAGAACACCTTATCTTTTTTGTTGTTTGCTTGTTTGAATCTCACTCCTTGTGTAGTTCAAAATTAGACATGTAATCCTCCTGACTCAGTTCCCTGGGATCACAGATTCAAGTGATTTGTATTTAAAGTATTGGGACACTATTGCTTACAATTTAAAAAATACAGCCTGCAGCTAGTAGTACTGCTCAGTGGTAAAGCACTTGCCTAACATGGACAAGGACCTAGGTTTGAGCTCAGAACCATTTTAGAAAAAAGTCCGGCATGGTGACACATATTTTTAAAAATTTATTTGTTTTTATTTTATATGCGTGTGCAATAGTGGGCATTAAGAACCCATTCTTTTTGTGCACTAGCAGATCTTGGGCATGAGAAAGGGAAGAGTGGTGACTAGGTATCCACAGTGGTTTGCTTATCAGGGAAGGCCCTGGGTTTCACTCTGACCACCACAAAAAATAAGCAAAGTCTAAATTCCCATAATGAAATTAAGATTCAAAAGGCCAGACAGAGCCTAGGAAAGCTGGAAGGCAATTCTGCCTTCCTTGGCCCCATGAATTAATATGGGACAAGCCCATGGCCTGGCCTGTGGATCGAGCAATGTACTCCAGTCAGGGAAAGCTGGTCTCTACATCTGCCACACCCCCAAAGGGCATCTGCTTTTGTTCAATGTGGCTACCTGGGCCAGGGACTTTGCTGCTGCTTCTTCTTCTTTTTTTTTTTTTTGAGACAGAGTTTCTCTGTATTGTTTTGGAGGCTGTCCTGAAACTCTGAGGCTCTGTAGACCAGGCCTGCCTCTGCCTCCTGACTGTTGGGAATAAAGGCGTCCGCCACCAATGCCAAGTGGTGTAGAACTGGAGCACACATGCCTCACAGGGCTTCCTGAGGTTGAAATGTGATAATTCATGCAGTGAGATGCACTAAGCATCCAGCACAGAGCCTCGTGTGCAGTAAGGGCTGATGTGCACTGGGGAGCTATGCGCTTGTCTGTCTCTCCTGCATGCGTGTCCTGAAGCAGAAGAAGAGGCTTCACCACTTAGCCCATGGCACTGCACACAGCACTGGATAAGCATACTTTGGTTTTTCCAGGCAGGGTCTCTCTGTGTAGCCCAGGCTGTCCTGGACCACAGAGATTCACCTGCCTCTGCCTCCCAGTGCTGGGACTAAAGGCGTGTGCTGCCACCGCCCTGCCAACATCTTTTTGAGCAGCAAGTGTTCTTAACCACCCATCTCTCTAGCATCATTTAAAGAGACTCATTTACTTCTGGGACTGTCACAGTCTCAAGATAAAAACTCAGTATGTGCTCGAGTGTGTGGATGTACTACAGGGAGGTGTCACTGGTGACAGATAGTGTTTGCTGTTCCAGCAACCCAGGCTGTCTCACAACTTGAGACATGCCCAAAGTGAAGATGAGTAGGACCGGCCACTCAGTCACATCCCGCGAAGCATCCAAAGTGACAGAATTAAAAAGCAGAGCTGGGGCTGCAGACAAGGCTCAGCAGTTTAGAGCCTTGTTGCTCTTTTGGAGAATGGGGGCACAATTCTCAGCACCCACATGGTGGCTCACCGCCACCTATAACTCCAGTATCAGGGGATCTGACACCCTCTTCTGACCTCTGTGAGTACAGACATACTTGTAGGCCAACCATAAAAAAATAATAAAATATGTCTGGGTGCGGTGGTCGGGGACATTAGTCGGGGCAGTGGGGTGGGCTGGAGCAGCAGAGGCGGCCTTGCCAGGTGCCATTGATGGGCAGAGGATGTCGGGGTGCAGCTTGCCTAGACATAGAAACAATAAGAGACTGGCCAGGATACCAGTGGGGTATCTGAGAGAAAACTTCTAGCTAGCGTTAGCTCAGAGGGGAAGATCTATTTGCCTTGAAAGTGGGCTGAAGGCTCTGAGACTGAACAAAGGGGGAAAAGAGTAAAGTCCTAGTGTAATACCCATTCTCTTCCTTCTCTCTCCTGTAAGGTGCACATCTCTCTTCCCCACAAAAATGTTTCCACCAACCACATTTTCTGAAACTGAGCCAAAATAAGTCATTATGCCTTTCACAGGCCAGGATCTTGTCAGAGCCAACAAGGAAACACAGACCCATGCCCTTCGTGGCACCCTATAGACCTACTGCTTCCAACTCTTTACTAACGTGTCCAAGAATCTCAGAGCACTAAATGAGGAACTAAGGAGGCAGGCACGCCCAGGGGAGCTTAGCTTACGATCCCCACTAAGTTTTGCAGATGCCCCTTTTGTGACAAAACACCTGGCAGCCTGGTTCCTTCACGAGAACACACTGTGCACCTGCACCCCTTCCCATCATGAGGACACACTGTGCACCCGCACCCCTTTCCAAACAGTGCACTTAGCAACTTCAGGGCCTCTTGAGCCCCCATGCATTCCAGGCTATGGATACTACCATCTCTGAACACTGGTCTATGTTTTTCCATTTCTGGTAACACAAAATTTAGATAGTTTCTAGTCAAGTGTAGCCCCAATGTATCTCGAGTTGAACAGCGGGAAGGTCAATCCATTCTGAAGCAGTTTAGGGTGCATGCACGATAAGGGGAACCAGTGGCATCTTGTATACTATTAGAGAAAACCCCCTATTTACGATCTTAAGCCTATGTATAACTGGGCAAACATATAATTAAAATCTAATGCAATGAGAAAAATGAATACATGATCTAGTTTATCCATGAAAAAAGAGAAACACTCAAACTACCTCTTCGCAACCAACCCTCCCTTCTCTTGAGCTCCACAAAAAGGGCTCTGAACAGTAACTGGGGCCCTGAATGCTGGCTGCTACTCATTTGTCAACCTTTTTAAAGGATTTTATTTTACTTTTAATTACATGTATGTGTGTATGTGGGGGAGGGGGGGCAGTGCAATTTCAGTACAGGTGCCCATATCGCCTGGAGTTACAGGTACTTGTGAGCGGCTAGATGTGGGTGCATGGAACTGAACCCACATCCTCTGCAAGAGCAGTACTAACTCAACTGCTGATCCGATTCCTAACTCCACCCCCAGCCAATCTCGACGGTGCCTCCCTCTGTATGAACCTCTATTTTCAGTGGCCAATAACCTATAAACACCCATAGAGGCCCCTATCAGTCAAGGCACGGTAAACACAAAATCAGATAAGAAATGACTAGGAGAAGAAATCTACCACCAACACAAAGACTGAAAAGTGAAATGTCACTTCCAGGCAGCAGCAAGCAAGCCACAGGACCAGTGCCTAATGGACACCAGAGCCTCCCTCTCCCCATCGTCACCTGAGTCAACGAAGGCTTTCACAGGGTGCCCGTTCACTCTGCAGTTGATGTAGAGCATGGCCACCTGGCCGAAGCTCTCCGGGGCCTCCTCCATAGCTATGGTCATGTTCTCCTCGATGTTCTGCTGCCTGTGACAAGCCAGAGCAGCACACTGTAAGCTCCGCTTCCAGGAAAGAATACCACAAACACATTTGTAAAAGGTTTTTGTCCTAACTGGAACAGCTGAGTCACAGAATGGAAATTGGTTCCGTGTTCCCCAACAGGTGACTCAACAGGAGGTGATGAGAGACAGAGCTGACAGAAGACTTAAGACAGGCATAAAAATTATCCTCATACAAAACAATCATGCTCCCTTTAAAGGCTCAGAAATGGAAAAATAAACTCCTAGAAAGCAAGGTCACACAGTCCTTTGTATCCTACCAAATATTGAAATTTTATGACTACTTGAGACAGGTTCTTACTACATACCCAGGCTGGACTTGAATTTATGACCCTCTCATCTCAGCCTCTCCAGTACTGGGATTATAATGTGTGCCACCAGACTCTGAATCTTGCCCTGTAGACCAGGCTAGTCTCAAATTCATGAGATCCTCCTGCCTCTGCCTTCTAAACATTGGGATTAAAGGAATGTGTCAACATGCTAACCCAGCGCTCTTATTTTAACTGAGGATGTCCTGGGAATCTGAGTATCATCCCAGGGCAGCAGTAAGTCTGCAAACAGAATCATGTGAATTCCACCTGTCTGTGCTATGCAGGATGTTTCATCTCCACAACTGGCTTTTTTAATCTGTAAATTGAAAAACCAATTCCATCCCATCACAAGGTTGATGAGCAGCCTAAAAAATTCCATCTATCTGGAGGTATAGCCTATTTAGATGAGTCCTTGCCTACCATGCATAAAAGTAGAGACCCTCAGAATCACAAAAATCAGGTGTAGTGGTGCACACCTGTAATCCCAGCATCTGGGAAGTGAAGGCAGGAGGATCCAATGGCTACATTTAAGGCCAACCTGAAATACATGAGACCCTGTCTCAAAACACATTGGCTAGACAGCTTACCTTTAGACTGGGAATACAGAAGAGCTCAGTCAGCAATTTGGGTAAAGTTCATTGTTAACTAAGGACTGCTAAAACCACATCCCAATACCTGTGCACATGTTATGGGAACACAGAGACACAGTCTACATATCATGTGATGGTTAACCTTGGTTATCAGCTAGACTGGATTTAATATCACCATAGAAATACCAGTCTGGGCCAGGCAGTGGTGGCCCATGACCTTAATCCAGCACTCGGGAGGCAGAGGCAGGTGGATCTCTGTGAGTTCGAGACCAGCCTGGTCTACAAAGTGAGTGTCAGGACAATCTCCAAAGCCACAGAGAAACCCTGTCTTGAAATACCAGTCTGGATTTGTTAATGAGGGTACCCTCAAAAGGGTTAACTGAGGAGGAAAGAATACCCCTGAAAGTGGGCACCAACCACTATTTCACAGGTTGGTATCCAAGACTGAATAAAAAAAGGAAACATGTTCCTGTTACCATGTCTTCCCCACCACCATGGACTACAGCCTAAAACAGAATAAACAATAACAAACTCTCCTTGCCTTAAGTTGCTTGTCACAGCAAGTAGACAGGAAACTAACATCTGTCCCAGTCACTGCTGCTTCACACGGCAGACACAGCTAAACAGGAGAAATAGATCACATGGCCTGCAAAGCCTAAAATATTTACTACCTAGCCTTTACAGAGAGCTGACCCATGCTCTCTCTGCACGCCATTTCCTGCACTTCCCTTAATGCTCTGGTTCACCGAACTGATGGTTAACCATCAGACTTGCAATACACTGTTAATCTTCTCAGGAGGTCCAGGCACCCTTGTTTAATTTAATTTGGCATACAGGGAAGCTATTACACTTTAGTGTATACATGCCCATGTACAACAGTGTTGTGTGCCAAGCAGAATTTTAAGCCACATTTGTTATAATTATACACCTTTATCCAATGGCACATTATGAAATTCAGAAATAACATACAACCAATTATGTAACACTGATCTTGCTCTAACCCCTGTTAAGTTTCAGGAAAAAAGAAAAAGAGAATGTGGGGCTAGGGACATGGCTCAGTTACCATTCAAGCATGAGGGGACCTGGCAGCATCCAATTGCATGCAATCTCAGAGTTGCAGGGGTAGACACAAGAGGATCCCTGGAGCTCACTGGCCAGCCACCGAGCTACCCCAATCTGTGAGCTCCAGTTTCAGCAACAGAAAATGTCTCAAAAGAGAGATTCAACTGAGGAAAAGCTCCCCTCTCCCACAAAACAAAAACAACAACAACCAATAAATCCTTTGAGTTAATACCAATTAGCCATGGCTCTGAAGGTCTCAGTAGAGGGTTCCAGAAGTGCGAAGCTTCCTTCGCGGGATGGATGTGGGGCCATCAAGACAACTGAGGAAGCATGGTGCTCGTCACCAGCCTGACAACTGAAGTTTGACTCTGTAGTCCATGGAGACAACCGGACAGAATTCCTGCAGGCTGTCTTCTCAACACCACACATGTATCGCTGCATGCATTTCCAATAGTAATTATAATAAAAGTGTTCTAACTCTAAAGTTGATTTGACATTTCTTGGGCTGGAGGGATAACTTGACAGTCAAGAGGGCTTACTGTTTTTTCAAAGGACCTGAGTTTGGTTCCTGTCATTCACAGCTGCCTGTGAGCAAATAGGTTCATTACACTCATGTGGTCCATTCATGAACTCGTGTACACACACATGCACACTTTTACACACACACACACACACCACTAAAATTATAACAAACATTTACCACACATGGTGGCACATAGAGGCAGGTAGATCTCTGAGATCAAGGCTAACCAGGGCTACATAATATAAGACCTTGTCTCAGAACAACAAAACCCAGTGAACCAAACAACCAGACAAATACAAAGAGCTTCAGGGCAGCCCCAGATGCATAAGAGCGTCAGGCCGGCTTGGGCTGTCTGGGTAATCTGGTAATCTGCTTTCCTCACATCGCCCAGTTTCCTTTATCCCACCCTGTAGGAAACGGCCTGTTTGCATTTGATACACAACACTTCCAGGGTTTGTCTATGACGCCTCCCCCCCTGCTTCCCAGGATGAATTCAACTATGCTTGAAATCAATGTCAGACTCCCTTACTGCTGCAATGTGACCCAGTAAGACACAAATGGTTTACTTCTCTAGGCAGACTCAGCTAGTTAAGCTATGCCCATAGACACCAACTAATATCTGATTAGGCCTGCAGTCCCAACTAGTGGGGAGGCCAAGGTAGGACATTAAGTTCAAGGCCAGCTTGCCAATTTAGTAAGATCCCGTCTCAAAATAAAAAGTAAAGCAGAGCTGAGGATGCGACTCAGTGGCAGGACACTGTGTAAGAGGGGGAAAAAATCACCAATATCTGATACAATTAATGAGAACACTTAAGCCAACACAGAATATGAACACAATTAGTTCTGGAATATGATCTGTATTTCTTCCATTTTTAGTATATTCATAATGTCAGAGATGCAGTCTGGTAATAAAGGACAGGGTCTCTCCTCAGTTGTCGTCCTGGGGTCACCTACCTCACATCGCAATGCTGTTTTGTCTGCTAATCAGGAAGTGCTCACAAATTTGAGAGCAGAAAGTCATTAAGTGATTTCCAAATACTGGATCAAAATGTGAGGGCAATGATGGAGCTACTTAAGCAGACTGGGGTTATTATCTCAACCTGGAGACAGGGAAGCTGTCTGCAAGCAGACGTCTAGCTAATGCCTGATGACCTGGACGCTGTAAGCTTGCTCATTAGGTAGATAGATCTTACCTTATATCTTCTTCTATCTTTGCCTGAGCTTCGAGATCAAAGGGGTCAGCAGAAAATAGACGAATTCTTTCTTGTTCTCTTCGAGCTCGGTCCTGTTGCTGCTCTACCAGAACGCGAGAGAATCTCTCTATAAAAACAAGGGATGATATATTCAGTTCTACATTTTCTCTCTTTCTTTTGGCTTTTATGAGACAAGGTTTCTCTGTGTAGCCCTGACTGTCCTGGAACTCACTCTGTAGACTAGACCGGCCTCAAACTCAGAGATCTGCTTTCCCAGTGTTGGGATTAAAGGCATTCGGCATCATTATTTTAAAAATGTTTCTATTTTAGTCTAGCAGTGATGGTGCACAATTTCGTCCCAGCACTCAGAGAACAGAAGCAGGATGGTCTCTCTGAGTTTCAGGCCTGAAAGTGGGCTGTAGCATAAGCTCCAGGACAGCCCGAGCCACACAGAAAAACACTGAAAAACCAAAAATAAATGAATGAATAAAACGAGAGGAAACCAATACCAACGAGTGTACTCTATGATTCCAAATACATAAAGTTTGAAAACAGGCAAATCAAAGCAATGATTATCACAACAGTGCTAGAAGGAACACAATGGAACTTTCTAGCTGAGAGACAGCTTTATTGGGTAATGTACGTAACTTAACAAGCATAAGGACTTAAGTTTGAAACCCAAAACCCACATAACTGCTGGAAATGATGATGTATACTTGTATTCCAGTGCCCGGAAAGCAGAGACAAGAGGCTCTTTGTAGCCTGCTTGCCAGCCAGCCTCGCCTAACTGCTGAAAAGTCAGGGAGACCGACCCTCCCACACAGAAGGTGGATGGCATTCTTGAGGATGGTTATCTGGGGTTGCCCCATGGTCTACACATGCAACCCCACTTTAAAAAGACCAAAAAAGCAAGCCAGGTATGGTGGCACATGCCTTTAATGTCAGGGCTCAGGAGGTAGAGGGCTGGTGAATCAGTCTGATTATCTGAATTCAATCCCTGGATTCCCAAAAGCAAGAGAGAACCAGCTCTTGGGAGTTGTCTCCTACCATGGCTGTGGTGTGTGCTGTGAAACCTATTATACAAGATGAAACCTGATTTCAGACCCGTAGGTCCCATGTGAAAGCTTGTGCAGGCACACATCCGCATGCCAGTGCTCCCCAGAAGCTCACAAACCAGCTGGCGTGCTGCACACGGTGCTGTGACAAACAGCAGAGACCCTGCTTTCAAAACCAAGGCAGAAGATGAGGACTGACAAATTGACCTCCAAATGTCACCTGTGATCACATATGTAGGTACACACACAAAATTTAAATACCCCCCACCCCGCCCAAATTAGTCCTCACTGTCCTGGAACTAATTCTAGGCTAGCCTTGAACTCACAAAGATCCACCTGCCACTGCCTCCAGAGTGTACACCTAGCCAAAATTTAAAAAATTGAAAAAGAAGCTGGGTGTAGTAGCACGTCTTCAATCACAGTACTTTGGTGGCAGAGACCCAGGTGGATGAAGAGGCTGCCCCGAGAATGAAGATGATTTCAATTAAATACAAACATTATTGCCAATTAACCCAGTCTTTGAGATTACATTAATTTACCTCTCATCCACAAGTGGCCTGTTCAAGAATCACAGAAGACAGCCAATGGACTGAAACAGTTGCCTGGGTCTTGCACATTTGTTCTGGCACAACTACTAACACAAGTGAGCTTACCGAGATCTCCGCTGAGCAGAGCTTCTGCCAAGGGTGGGTTACGCTCCTTCAGCAAGGACAGCTCATGCGGGTTGGACAGCAGCATGTCTCGGAGCAGGGCTGGGTTGTCTAGGCCTTGAGGAGACGCTGCTACTTCCCCAGAAGATGAGTGCTGAGCCTGTGCTCTGGGCAGCTGGCGCTGCTGGGGGTTTGACGTTCCAGGCACAGCGATGCTACTGAAGTCAATCCGGGGTAAGTCTGTTGAGATCAATCAATCAAGTTTACCCAAAAGATGCACACCATAAAGACAAGTGATGAAGGAAACAGCAAAACAGTTCAGCACCACCACACCTAGTTTTATAGGGGCCTGGGCCTCCAACCCAGGGTTAGTGATAGACAAGCACTCTAACCAGCTGAGCTGCGTGCCCAACCCCTGACTCCCGTGGTGGTGGTGCACGCCTTCAATTTCAGCACTCGGGAGGTAGAGGCAGGTGAATCTGTGAATTTGAGGCCAGTGTGGTCTACAGAGTGAGTTCCAGGACAGCCTCCAAAGCAATACAGAGAAACCCTGTCTTGAAAAAAACCAAAATAAATAATCAATTAAAAAAAAAAAGAATTCAGTATCAGGCAATGGTAATAATTCCAAATTTGGAATCTTTAAAATGTTCCAGAACAAATAAAGGTTTTACTTTAAAATTTTAGCTGGAAGTAGTGGTACATGTCTTTTAACCCCAGTACATGAATTCCAAGCCAGCCTGGTCTACATTCTTAGCTCCAAGCTAGCCAAGGCTCTATAGTTGTCTCCAAAATAAGAAAAAAATTTAAATTACATTTATTAAGTATGTATTGGGGGAGGGAATAGGATGTGAGGGCAACTTCTAAGAGTTTTTCTCTCGAACCATGTGAGCTTTTGGGTCAAACTCAGGCGGTCAGGCTTGGCAGCAAGCACCCTTAACCACCGAGCCATCTTGTTAGCCCCATAGTTATGCTTTTAGAGATGCGGTTGAGTTAACAGAACAGCTGCCCAGTATGCCAAAGTCCTGGTCTACTCCCCAGCATCACATAAACTCAAACAAACAAACAAACAAATTGCACCTGTCTCAGTAACTGCAATTGCCTAATTCTAGATATGACTCTTCCAAAACCATTTTATATCAATAAATCTGTAAAGTAAAAGACAGACACTAGCTATGGTGGCATATACCTTCAATCCCAGCATGCCAAAAGTCTGGAACAAGAGAGAGGCAAGCCAGTCTCCAAGAGAGAGGCAAACTAAAATAAACTAGAGCCAAAATGAGACAATGGCCCTGAAAAAAACCAAAAACCAAAACAAAACAAAAAAACCCACATTATGTTTAACCCTAATGACAAACCATGTCTGTCTGGGACTATCCTGAAGCCTCTGTATGTCAACTACAAAAGGGGAAGCTTAAACTCCTGTATAAGGTTTCAGCCTCATATGTGGGGTCAACTAGTCACTGTCTAAAACAGAGGACAATTGTCAGCCAGTGTGTATGGTGAGAAGGGCCACACAGGACAAAACATTTAAACAATGGAAAGACAGTGACCGACAGGCTCCTTGGGGAGCTACTGTCTCTACTAACCACCAAAAGCACACCATGGTGGGGCCTCTCTGCAGCTAGACAGACTTATCTCCACCTCCGTTCCATCTTGCCGGTCCACTCACTTCGGAATTCTCAACAACTTGTTCACTTCATAAACAGGATCCCCACATATGCCCCTCCCCACACAGCAACCTACTTGCTATGTTGTGCACACAGAAAGTAAAGCATACACACCAAAACAGAACTGATACAGCGACTCTCTAGTAGAGACCACCTCAAAGTCCCCGAAGGAAGATCTGGTTTTTACTGACTGGCAAACACGAACTGCTACTCTTCCTAAAGCAGAAGCCCAAGGGACGGATAAAACCTGGAACTGACAGAGTGAGTGCCTGAAGATCGTCTCATCGTCTGAACGAAGGGCTGTGGTCCACACTGCATGCAGTCTGTTGTCACCTAGCACACCTGTCAACCTACTACCATAAACTTTAAAAGCAGGAGACCTGGAGGGTAAATACTACCTGAAGAACTTCACCAAAATATGGCAGGCAGCAGGGGAAAAAAGGACATTTCATCATGCAGTTTGTTCCACACCAGGACTTGGAAACTCTGAGTCATGAGCGAGCCCCTTTGAGGAGCTAAAGGAAGCTATTGGCCCTCTCAACACCAAGCACATATGTGCCTGCTCCCACACAGCCCTGCATATTTTAGAGACACAGAAACCTCCTAAACCTAAATGCAGGCTTCAGACGATAAACACCAAGCCTGGCTAGATGTGTGGGTGCATGCCTGTAATTCTAGAGCTCAGGAGGCTGGAGGTCAGCTTGGGTCACACAGAAAGTTCCACGGTCACTTTGGGTTTGAAACCCTGTCTTTAAAATAAAACAAAAAGCCAAGGGATCTGGAACATTAGCTCAGTGGTTAAGAGTGATTTCTGATGCTTCCGGCACACATGTAAGGTAGCTCGTAACTAACTTTAATTCCAGTTTCAGAGGGCTCTGATCTGTGACACTCCTGTGGACGGACACACACACAGAGTTCCAGAAGATCTAACATCCTCATCTGATGGCCTCCACAGGAACTGTATGCACATAGCACACATACAAGGAGGCAAAATATTCATATGTGTATATATGAATATATGTATGTATGTATGTATATATCTTTTTTTTTTTTTTGGTTTTACGAGACAGGGTTTCTCTGTATTGTTTTGGAGGCTGTCGGTCCAGCCCAACCTCGAACTCACAGAGATCCGCCTGCCTCTGCCTCCTGAGTGCTGGGATTAAAGGTGTGCACCGCCAAAGCCCAGCTGTATATGTATATATCATTTTAAAAAATCTTTTGTAATGTGCCATTCTGGCATATTAAGACTAATAGCAATGTCAGGGAGAGATCAAAACCTGGTACTTCAACCACTTAAACCTGCCAAGTTTGGAATAACAGAAAAAGTACCATTTCAGTCGCTTTTTTCTTACTAGCTATGTGACTCTGATGACATCACTTAATTAAGCCTGTGTTTCATCTCTTGATGAGGCAGATCTGGATTAATTATGACACCTAAAGAAGAGACTGACTTGTCCAAGGTTATGTAGCAGGCAGTTTACACCCCTCAGCCTGACATTCATATTAAAAGGTGATGAGTATTGGGCTTACTTGAGAACTGAACTGGAGGGCGAGGGTCTGCATTCTCCTTCTGTCGTAAAATCACAACATCCCCATCTTTCAAGCCATAAGAAGCCAATGATCTGTGGTTGTCCGTGAGAGGTCTTTCTGCGTAGACAATCTGCAAGGGAAGATTTAATGGTATAAAGTATGGAGAAGCAACACTTTCCCTCTTCATCGTGTTCCCTGCTCAAGACCCTCCCATTGCTTCCCATCATGCCTAGAAGTCCTGCCTGTCTCCTACTAGCCCCCAAGGGTTTGGCTGACGGTCACCTCTGAGCTCACTCTACTGCTGTCCCACTGAGACAGACACACATCACCTTCCCCTCAGGCATCCGTTTCTTTTTCTACCCAAGGACCATTCCTTCTCCTGTCATTTTGTTTAGATCTCTGATCAAGCATTACTTCAGTACTCTTCCCTAGAGCCACATTAAAGTGTGCCCTGGACATGGCAATGGGTACAGCTCAATGACATAGCATTTCTCTCACACCCACAAGGCCCTGGGTTCCATCCCTAACAACACAGTAGTTAGTTAGTTCCTCCTCACCTAACTAACATGCTCGTCTTGATCTGCTTGTTAGACTTTTCTGTGGAGCAACAATTTTGTCTAACTACCTATCACAGATGCTTAGGACAAAGCCTGTTATGTAGAATGCCCAGAAGTCAAGGATAGGTGATTCAAAGAGTAAGAAATTTAGCTTTCATTCTGAGTAACCAGGGATGACATTCTGGGTATGTCTGCTACAAGGCAATTGATGTATACTTTTAGCTAGGCATGGTGGCACAGCTCTAATTCCAAAACTGGGAGGCCAAACAGAAAAACCACCTCAAGTACCAGGCCAGACAGGGCTACAGTGAGATGGTGTCTCAAAACCCCACAAAACTAAAACCCACTAACCCTTTAACAATCATAAAACAGGCCATGAACTGGGGGGTATGGAACTGATACAAATACAGTACAAGGATCAAGTTCTCAAAAAATAAGCAAACATATTAAAAAGTTTAAAAAACAAAACATATTAAAAAGATCTCACAAAGTGATAATGAAGAAATTCAGAGCCAAGAGTGATGGCGCACACCTTTAGTACCGGCACTTGGGAGGCAGTGGCAGCTGGATCTATAAAGTAAGTTTCAGGACACACAAGGCTATCATTAGACAGAGAAAGCTTATCTTGAAAAACAAAAAACAAGAAAACAAGACAAAAACAAAAAGGAAGGCGTTGGTGGCGCACGCCTTTAATCCCACCACTTGGGAGGCAGGGGCAGAAGGATCTCTGTGAGTTCGAGGCCAGCCTGGTCTATAGATTGAGTTCCAAGACAGCCTCCAAAGCTCCACAGAGAAGCCTTGACTTGAAAAACAACCAAAAAAGAAACAAACACACACACACACACGCACGCACGCACAAAAGAAATTCAGGATGAAAGACAATTGTGTTTTTCTTTTCTTTTCTTTTTTTTTTTGGAGACAGGGTTTCTCTGTGGCTTTGGAGGCTGTCCTGGAACTAGCTCTTGTAGACCAGGCTGGCCTCGAACTCACAGAGATCCGCCTGCCTCTGCCTCCCGAGTGCTGGGATTAAAGGCGTGCACCACCAACGCCCGGCTGACAATTGTGTTTTTCAACTGAAAAACAAACCCACAAGCATAGTAATCACCTGGAATACAGTAAGTAGGTGCTTGTACGCCTGCAGTCTTAGAAACACTTCCTACGGATCACACAAAAGCGAGAGTACTGTGAGGGGAAGAACAGAGCACACTGCAACTTTTCCACACGGGGTGGAGACCTGTTATCATACACTCCACAGGACACACGGGCTTGGCACAGCTTGCTCCCTAAGCGTTTGCTCTGGGCCACAAACTAACTGAGCAACCTGAGCTGGGTACTAACTCAGCCAGGAACTCCGGGAGGGGCCTGTTACTAGGTGGGCCAGGAGTCAAATTTCTTGTGTCATGCAGGCCACCAGGATTGATCACAGCAGATGTTCCTTCCAGTTCTTTTTCCATGGGGGGGGGGCTGAATCCAAGGCCTTGTACCTGTTAGGCAACTTCTACCACAAGACTTCCCTCGCCTGTCCACATGCTCTCTTGGCAGAGCCTTGGGCACAGAGCACACAAACATCATTTACACCAGCCATTCTGAGCATTTGCTGTCATTTCATTTTCAAATTTGTAGTGATATAGGCAAAAAAAAAAAAAACCCTCCAAAATCAAATCCTGCAGCCAAGAAAACAGAACTTGCTCTGTCCGATTTCACAAGGTTTATACACGACTAAAAATGACTGCAACCATCACTGTCACCTCGTCATGGCACTTATTCGAGTGCAGACCTCAGACTTGAAGGAGGTAGGAAAATAACAGATTCCCTTTTCTTTCTGCCAGTACAATGGAGAGCTATACTACATACAATGTGTGGGGGAGAGGAAAACAGCCAGGGTCACAGGTTGAGCTGTACTGGGTGGCATCAACACAATTAAGCCACTGTGATGAGGTCACCGATAGCCCATGGCCTACCCTAGTATCTCAGGTTCAGTGAGTCAGAGGCAATGTATTTAAAGACACATGACTGTCTCCCAAGGCAGACACACTTACTAGAAAATGGATTCATTTATAAAGAACCGTAGTCAGGAAGATGAGAACAATTCAGGGGATGAGGCTGTGGTTCAGTGAGAGCGTCTTCCTGGCATGGAAGAGCTCAGCACAAGACTACTGAATTCTCTTCCAGAGAAACTCTCCTGGGCTAGCATGCCAGGTTCCCACTTAACCCTCACACTGAGTGTCACAATTATTTTAATAGTGACGGTTTGTCATTTTATGGACCAGAAGACACAGGCCACAAAGGTATTAAGAGAACTGGCTCTGGGCCAGGAGGTGATTGCACACACCTTTAATCCCAGCACTCTGGAGGCAGAGGCAGGTGAATCTCTGAGTTTGGCAAGTAGTTCCAGGACAGCCAGGGCTACAGAGAAACCCTGTCTCAAGAAAGAAAAAAAGAAGAAGAAAAGAACTGACACTGGTGTTCTATGTGCTTGGCATTAAAAATATATTCTTTTCCAGCACATCCCCAGGAACTGGTTTCTACGCCAGTCTTTACCACTAAGGATCTATACCACTACTGGCAGTGCCTGCCAGTTCTGTGAAGCCCCCAGTTCAATTCTGAGTATGGGGGTATGGAACACACACAACTGTCCGTATTCTAAACATCAAGTAATACTGGGCTGGGGGGATGTAGGGCAATGTTGCAGCACTAATCTAAGTGTCTGGTTTTTTTTCAAGACAGGGTTTCTCTGTGAAACTGTCCTGGCTGTCCTGGCACTCTCTTGAGGCCAGGCTGGTTTTGAACTCACAGAGATCCATCTGTCTCTGCTTTCTGAGTGCTGGGATTAAAAGCATGCACCACCACCACCACCCGGCTATCTGGTGTCTTCTTAGTTGGACTATTTTCTCATTTTTATTTATTTTTTTAAATTTTGTATGTGTATGAACATTTCACCTCGATGTACATATGTATACCACTTGTGTGCCTGATGCCTGTGGAGGCCAGAAGAGTGTCCGATTCTATAAACTATAGTTACAAATGTTTGTGAGCCACCATTGGATGCTAGGGACTGTATGTAGCCCTCTGCAAAAGCAGCCTGTGCTATTACTGCTGAGCCATCTCTCCAGCCCCAGCTTCTCATTTTTAAAATGATGACAACAGAGGTCAAGAGTAGTAGCATTCACCTTTAATCCCAGACTGGGGAGGTAGAGACAGGCAGATCTCTGTATCTCCCTGAGTTTAAGGCCAGCCTAGTCTACACAGAATTAGACAGTTGGAGCTACATAGAGAAACCCTGTCTCGAGAGAAAAAAAAATCTAAGAGATGGTGCTAGTCACTGATATCAGGCATGTGTAATGTATACAAGCTATGGAATATCTGATCCAATTTCCTCAAAATGGGTAGGTTACTCTGTGAGTGAGGCCAGCCTGGTCTACGAGTTCCAGGACAGCCTCCAAAACAATACAGAGAAACCCTGTCTCAAAAACCAAAAAAAAAATAGGGGGTGGGTTAGTGATTTGGGCACTGATGTCTGTCTGGCACTGATTTCAGGGTTTGGATCAGAGTCAGGAGGGCACAGCAAAGGACTGTTCATATCGTGACAAGCCAAAGCAGAAAGGAGCACACAAAAGATACATCCCAAGGACATGCTTCCAATGACCCTCTTCCTGCAACCAGACCCCACTTCCTTTTAGCACCTCCCAATAATTCCATCATACTACAGATCCATCAAAGGGTTAGTTAATCCATGGGTTAGGCCAGAGCCCCATGATGAAATAAACTGTCTCTGAAAAACCGCCATCGTAGACACATCTGGAGATGTACTTCACTAATCCCCTAGGAAGCCTAAATCAGTTGTGCTGACAACAAAGTTATACTGGGCAGAGAGCAAACACCCACAAGAGCCCAAACCAGCAGGTAACCACAGCATGGAGACTGAAATCCCAGGGTAAGGAAGGGGGCTGGGGCTAAGGCCAGTCTGGGCTATTGAGACCCTAGCTCAAACAAAGGCATTATTTTGTATCTTAAGTCCTTGAGTAAACCACCCTCTACAGTCCAGGCATGATGGTACAGCCAGTAATGCCAGCACTTGGGAAGCAAAGGCAAGAGGACAAGCGGTTCCACAAACAACCCAATACGAACTTGACTACATCAACGACTTCAAGTCTCCATCAGCCAAACAAACGCAAGCCAGTAACGGCACTGGTGCCGCAGCTCTCTGCACATCTGTCACCCACCTCAAAAACTAGCATGGAAAACCTGAGCCCTGCCAGTCAGAAGAGTGTACACAGAAGTCTACACTTCAGGTGTAAATCTGCAGAACTGGTACAGCAGCTAGTACTCACACCCGACGAGTGTCAGAATCTCTCTCTAAATCGACACTAGCAACAGGCTCAGGAATACAGCTCCAAAACCTTTAAGCATGACATCAAAGGTTTTCTGGTCTCTGAAAGAGAGCCTTCAATTCATGGGGGTGAGGTGTTCTGCTGGAAACTGAATGTGTGGCAAGCTCTCAACCAAAGATATCCCCAACCCAGTAGATCTTGTTTATTTATTTTGCAGCAAAGTCTCACAACTTCCTATGTAGACCAGGCTAGCCTAGAACTCAGAGATCCAACTTTGTCTACCTCCCAAGTGTTGGGATTAAAAGTGTGAACCACTATGCCCAGCACCCCAACAAGAAGGTTTGGTTTTTGAGATGGGTTCTCACTATGTAGCCTTTGCTGGCCTTAAACCCACAATGGAGACCAGGCTGGCCTTGAACTGTGAGTCTCAAATAACAAACAACAAACTAACACCCAACGCAGTTATCTCTCAGTTTGAGGAATAAGTCAGTGGCTGTATTCTTTATGTTTTTCTACTCTACAGCCTATCATGACTATTTACCAGGGGAAGCAAGGGAAGGAGAGGAAGAAGAAGGGGGAGAGGAGGAGAAGGGGGGGAGAAGGAGAGAGGAGGAGGGAATGAATAAAAATTACTTAAGGAAATAAACATACCAAAAGTAGCCATAATAGAAACTTTCAGTTTCCATGGTTTAAAATAGCATTTTTGTAAATCACACACAGGCTGTGTGAAAAGTGGCATTTCCAGGGTCACAATTACTACTGTTAGCTGCCACTTAAACAAGCCTTTCACTGAGGGTCCTTCCATTCTGTACAGGCTTTTACTCCACACTCCTTACAGAATATGAAGACAGCCGAGCGTCTTTAATCCCAGCACTCGGGAGGCAGAGGCAGGTGGATCTCTGTGAGTTCAAGGCCAGCCTGTTCTACAGTTCCAGGACAACCTCCAAAACAATACAGGGAATCCCTGTCTCGAAAAACCAAAAAGAAGAAGACAATTTGACTTGAACCTAAGTTCTGTGTTTGAAGCCGGCCCAGCCCAGCCTGCATCAAAGCATCATCACCCTGAGCCTGCCTGGCTGCCCAGCCCACACTTGCACTGGCTTTAATCACAGTACAAGTGGAGATGGTTTCTATTCTAAACTTATTGTCATTGCATTAGAACTACTATAATCAGACTAGAGCTGCTAGGAAAATTAACACCTTTTCCAAGTGTCTCACGCACAAATGGTGCTGATGAAAGATGGAGTTCCGAACCAGTGCTCCCTGGAGGAGACAGGCACACAAGACAATTCAAGGGATAGACAGAGCAGGAGAATTTTATTTCTATATAATGTTTTTTAAAAACTTAGACTTATTTATGTGTACTATGTACATGCCTAGTACCCACAGAGGCCAGAAGAGGGTGTGGGATCCCATGAAACTAGTTACCGATGGTTGTGAGCCAGCGTGTATGCTGGGTATCAAACCTCTTTCAGAGTAACAAGTGCTCTTAATTGTTAGCTGTCTCTTAAATCCCATTTCTTTTTTTTTGTTTTATTTTGTTTTGTTTTACGAGACAGGGTTTCTCTGTATTGTTTTGGAGGCTGTCAGTCCAGCCCGGCCTCGAACTCAGAGATCCGCCTGCCTCTGCCTCCCAAGTGCTGGGATTAAAGGCGTGTGCCACCACCGCCCGGCTTTAAATCCCATTTCTTATATTTTTGGTTTTGAGCCATCTCTCCAGCCCTAAATCCCACTTCTATTCATTCAACTTTATCCCTTTTTGGGGGAGTGGGAGGTTGAGACAGGGTTTCTCTATGTAGCCCTGGCTGTCCTGGAACTTGATCTGTAGTTCAAGCTGGCCTCAAACTCAGAGATCTACCCACCTCTACCTCCCAAGTTCTGGGATTAAAGATGTGGGCCAACCCTCCCCCTTTATGTTATTCTTGAATTCTATTTTACATGTGTGTGTGTACGTATGCATGTATATATATAGTAACTGATGTGTAGTGTATGCACATATATATAACTGTTAGCTGTAACTTCTATGTACCGCACAGCAGAATATGCACAACATGTATAGTACACAAAACGGCCATTTATGTAATTTATGTGTGAGGCACTGTGAGCATGATTTGAAACACTTTACTTATGGAGAGATACAGTAGTTATAACATGAGGATAATAAATTTAGAGCAGACACCGTTTCCACCTGTACCTGTGATTAAAATGGGCCACGCTCTATCTCAGAGGCAGCGGGGTTCAGCAGCCAAGCACAGCTCTGTAAAATCCATACATCTGGACCCCAGTGGCATGGAGTCAGGAACGGGGGAAGGAATGAGGATGGGAAAAACTGAAGCCCAACGAAATAGACAGACTGAAAGAAATCTGAGAGGAAGGGACAAGTTAGAAAAACTGGTTGGGGAGCTCAAATAAGAATGATTGGGTGAGCCGGGCGTTGGTGGGGCACGCCTTTAATCCCAGCACTTGGGAGGCAGAGACAGGCGGATCTCTGTGAGTTCAAGGCCAGCCTGGTCTACAAGACCTAGTTCCAGGACAGCCTCCAAAGCCACAGAGAAACCCTGTCTCGGAAAAACAAAACAAAACAAAAACAAAAACAAAAGAATGATTGGGTAGTCACGAGGTGGTGGCGAAATGTCTTTAGTCCCAGCACTCGGGAGGCAGAGGCAGGTGGATCTCTGTGAGTTCGAGACCAGCCTGGTCTACAAGAACTCGTTCCAGGACAGCCTCCAAAGTCACAGAGAAACCCTGTCTCGAAAAACAAAAAACAAAAAGAGAAATGATTGGGTAAAATAAAACAAAAACCAAACCAAAAAAGAACAATCAAACCCATGAAAATGTTTACTTTTATGACCCAAGGAAAGGAAGTGACTCAAGTGTCTGGTGTGAATCCTGTTCCTGCCTGGGAGGGGGGCACTCAATGAACTAGACAAGCGACCCCCAGAGGGCTAAAAACTCAGCTCTTAAAATAGACATTATGTTGTCGGGTTACATAAAGCCAACAGCACTAACTTGAAAAACAGGGTGCTGTTTACAGCTATTTAATACAGGTTTAACACGAGTTGGAGTACACTAATTTGGGTTAGGAAGAAAGTAAATACCAAATGTTGATACCAGCAGTAGAAGAATTTGGAGCTAGCCTAATTGTTCAAGTATTATCCCTAAAATCCCCAAGTGGCAGAAGAGAGTGCCTTGTTAACCATACAATTATCTTTCAATTTGATACCCTAATTTACTTTAAATTCTTTTTATAGACATCTGAGTGCCATAGGCTAGGGGGGAGGGGGAGAAACGGAGACAGAGACACAGAGACACACAAACACACATACACACACACTGTACTAAGAGAAACAATGTTAACCTCTGTTCTTTCTCAAGTACTACTAACAAATTCAACTTTAAATTATTCCCAATAAGGTGGTAATTATAACTTGGGTCGTCAAACAGCCACACAAAAGAACTGAAAAAAAAATACTTTTAAAAACTAAAAAGTTAGGCTGTCATGGTAGTGTATACTTGTAACCCCAGCAGTACAGGAGCCTGTGGCAGGCCCATTGTTGTTTGAGGCCAGCCTTGGCCTCATAGTTGAGACCTTGTCTCAAAAAAACAAAACAGCTGGTTGTGATAGGTCAGGCCTTCAAAAACTTGGAAAGCCGAGTAAAGAGGGATCTCTGGGAGTTTAGATGGGAGCCAATTTGATCTATATGGTGAGACCCCAGTCTCAAAAATCAACCAATCAAGCCAGGCGGTGGTGACACACACCTTTAATCCCAGCTCCAGGCAGGCCTGGTCTACAGAGCAGGACAGCCAAGAGCAACAGAGAAACCCCACCCCGCAAAATCAATCCCCTAAAAGGCAGATATCCCCCTCCTCTGATCTCTCTAGTCCTGGTTTGCCACTGCCTTGAGGATGAGGCTGACCAACAGGAACTGAGTCCTAGGTTTTTGAGGGTTAATCTTTCTATGGAAATTGGGGGAACTCTTTAATCCCTACTTTCTGCCAGACCGCGTATGTGAATGACACCTCGTTCCCTGAAACAGATCCTTCCAGAAAAAGTTGTATACCAAGGTTCTAAAGTTCATATTGTGTAAAGGAATCATACTTCTGAACAAAATGTCGACACATGTTTACCATAAGTCAGGGCAGAACACGCACTAGTTGGGCAATAGTTTCTGGAACGATTTCATTACTGCAGAAGGAAATCCAGATTTACATTCTGGGGCCTTGGGAGTCGTCTATAATTTTCTAACGTTTAGACTACGCCCAGTACGGCGTAGAATCCTAAGTGTTTTCGTGCAAAGGTTACAGAGTGGTTCACCTAGTCTGTGTAAGGCTACCAAGCATTTTGAGACTATATTTTCTTGTTAAAACATAAGAGGGGCTGAACTCCTTGCCACCGAGTCCCACGAAGGTCTGTCTACAGACAGTAGGCCGTTTTCAAGCTGATATCCTTCGAAAGCACTAAGCTTTGCGAACTGGCCAAACTGAACTGGGACCACAAAAACTGAGCTGACCTAACCAGCACTTTAGAAAATAGTAAATTAACCAGAAACACATTCCGAAGGGAAAAGCATTTCTAGAGACGTCAAAGGCAGAGCGAGCCTCAAACTTTTCTTCTCACTTTCAACTGCAAATCTGCATCATCCCAGGTAAACTGCGCACACAGAAGCAGGAACTCGGTAAAAATAAGCAAACCCCAGACCAGCGTCTATCTCCCAGTGATCCAAACTGGTATTTCTGGTTGGAGAAGCAGGAGGTACATGACGAGGACCCAAGGCTCCCGAGGGCCAGAAAGTGGGGAGGACTGCCCACCCGTGCACGTGTCCCCCTCGCTGCAGTGGGTGCATCTCCGGGCTACTGCAGGACTCGGCCCCCGCCGCCCCCCAACTCCCCGGCCGCAGCGGCTGGAGGCCCCGCTCGCTGCCCCGGCGTACCTGGCTCTCGGCGGCGGGGATGCCGGACTCGAGCTCGCACAGCGCGCGGAAGTTGTGCAGCTCGAAGTCGGCGTCGACCTGGAGGGAAAAGGTCACCTCGGAGAGGTCCCTCCGCACACAGTACACGGTGAGCAGCATGGCCCGGGCCCGACCCGGCTCGGCTCGGCCCGGCCTGGGCGCTGGGCGGACGGCAGGCGGTAGCGGGGGGCCTGGCGGTAGCTGCGGGAGGGCGACGGGCGCGGGCTGCTGGCTCCCTCGCTCCTTCCCTCCCTCACACGCGCGCAGTGACTCACTCGCTCCCGCCCTCAGCAGCCAGCACGGCCGCCGCCACCCGCCTGCGAGGCCGTCTGCCTGCCGGCCTGCCTCCCACCGCTGCCGTCAAGCGCGGACCGCCCGGAGCCCCGCCCCGCCCCGCCCCGCCGCAACCCGGCTGCCGTAAAGCGCTCCTGGCTGCGGCCGCCTTCGCGACGCGCGGGGGGTGGGGGTGGGGGTGGGGGTGGGGCGGGGCTGGGGGAGCTGTGGGGACGAATGCCGGGGTAGGGGAAACCCACCATTGGTTGACTTAATAACTGAATTCGGGAGTACTCCACGATCTCAGTTATTCAGCCAACAGACACCTACTGTGCGCTTGGCGCGGTCATAAAAATGGATGGAAGACACCACCCTTAGCTCTGCTTCCGCTATGGGAGACTTAACCAAGCAGATCATACTAAAAGAGATATTTTCGAAAGGGAAATTGATATTATAATAATAGCTCGCTTTCGTTTTGGTAATTAATGTAGGACGAAAACCCAAACCCTTACTTTGTGTAATCTCTAGAACTCGCCTTGCGGTGCTTCGGGGCCCGCCTGTGTGGTGGCAGCTGCATAACTCAGTTCCCCTCTGCCTTAGTTACCTCACTCTCTGCCTAAGCAACTCCAGCATTCAGCACAGGGCCTTTACTGAGAATCTACTCAGCACACTGGAACTGGTGGTGCACACCTGTAATCTCAGCCACCACAGAGGGTGAACCAAAGGCTTGGCAATTTCAAGATCTGTCTGGACTACAGTTCCAGGCCAGTCTGGACAACTTATTTTGAGAAGGGTATGGCTAAGTAATGGCTCATTGATATCTTGCCTAGCATGCACAATACTCAATCCCCAGCCCTACAAAAACAATTTGGTAAATACTTGTTATTTTAGTGACCTCTTTAAGGCCACCCAGTTCATACGGGGATATAGAGACCAAGGCATAAGTATGGTAAGATCCAAAAACTCCAGAGTCCACTGGGGTGGCCCACGTTTTTAGTTTCAGCACTCAGGGGACAGAGGCTAGGGGGTCACTGCAAATACAAGAATTCCCACTCCCAGCTAGAGCCGGCAGCTTCTTCTAGCATAACAGAAGGAAATAGGAAGCAGGATATATGGATGCCGAGGAAACTTCAGGTTTGTTTGCAGAAAAGAAGTTCTTCTTTCTTTTCTTTTTCTTTTTTTCTTTTTTTCTTTTTTTCTTTTTCTTTTTTTTTTTTTTTTTTGGTGGGGGGGAGTGGTTTCTCTGTCTAACAATCCTGGCTGTCCTGGAACTCACTTTGTAAACCAGGCTGGTCTCGAACTCACAGAGATCTCCTGCCTCTGCTTCCTGAGTGCTGCAGTTAAAGGAGTGAGCCACCACTGCCTGGCTGAAAAGAGGGAGTTTCTAGATGCAAACTTTTACAAAAACACAAGTGGAGAAGCTGGGACCCCAGGATAGTGCTGGTATCAAGGACTAAGTGACAGAAAGTCCAGCTACTGTGCAAATAAAAGGCAAATTGCAATGAAAACAACATCCAAAGAGCCTTTCAAAATGGAGTTGGGAAATGAGATTTCAGAGAATGCCAGGTGCTTCACAGATGTGAACTCTAGTCAACTTCACACTTTGATTGTGTCATCCGAAAGAGATAATTAACTTGTACCTAGACATTTAGTGGGTATCAAGATGTTATTGTTGTATGAATCGTCTCTTTAAAAATTTAAAATTTTTCTGGGTGGTGGTGGCACACACCTTCACCTTTAATCCCAGCACATGGGGTGGGGTGGGAGGTGGGGGGGTGGCAGAGGCAGGAGGATCTCTGAATTCGAAGCCAGCCTGGTGTACTAAACGAGTCCCAGTACAGCCAGGGCTACATAGAGAAACCTTGTCTTGAAAAACAATAATTAAAAAAAAATGTGTGTGGATGTTTGCCTGTGTGTACACACTTCTATGTACCACATATGTCCTGTCGAGATAAGAGGATATCAGATCCCCTGGGACTGGAGTCACTGACAGTTCTGAGCCGACATGTGGGTGCTGGGAATTAAACTAGATCTAATCTCTGAAAGAGCAGCCGGTGCTCTTGTCTGCTGAGCCATGTCTAGCAGCCACGCCCTTCTTTGAGAGAAGGTCTCACTATGAAGTCCTGGAACTTGCCATGTAGACAAGGCTGGTCTTGAATTTACAGAGACCCACCTGCCTCTCTCCCCCAAGTGCCAGGATTAAGGGAATGCATCACTATGCTGGTGGCTTGAATGAATCAGTCACAGAGAGCCCTTCCATACAACTCCAGTTCTTTCCAGTTTCAGTGGGGTTCTCCACCCATCCAGTGCAGACCAAAATTTCCCTGCCTTCTTTACCTGCAACACTGACTCTGCATTCTAAAAACCCGTTACACCTGAATTGTGATTCCTACAACTCCAGAGGAAGTCCTTTAGCTTTCTGAGTTTGGACTGGTAGATGTTATTCTGGGCTTTACCAAATAAGGGTTTGTTTTCTCACAGGCTAGGGGCCTAGACAGGCATTGCAAGTTCAGGGACTTAGTGATACAAGGGCTAGTACTTTCACCTACCTCGAAGGATGCAACAATTCTTTTGGCCTTTCCCCCAAAGGATTGCAGTGTGGCTGGAGCCTACACACCATGAATTCTTTTCTTGTCCAAGGTTGGAGCTTGCCTAGAAGTCTATCGACAGATTTTTGCCTGGTAACTTACTGCACAGGCCTGTGTCAAATAGCTGTAAGAGGCTAGGAAAGCAGGTGTTTAGCATTTTCAACAAACTTTAGTAGACACTGTCTGGGAAAGGGGGATGAGGATGGTATCAGGTAAAACACACTACGATTTCTAAAGCAGAGGAGGTTTAAAATAGATTTTAAGTGCCTTCCTGATGCCCTGGAGGCCAGAAGGTATTGGATCCCCTGGAACTAGAGCTGCAGATGATTGTGAGCCACCATGTGGGTGCTGGGAACCGAACCTGAGTCCCTTGCAGGAAGGACAAATGCTCTTAGTGGCTGAGCCAACTCTATAGCCTCTCTGTGATGTTTTTTCTAATAGTGCTTGGGCTCTTGGTCCTGGAAGAACTTATTTTCTGAAGATGGCAATAACAATTGCCCCATCCTGTGTGTTTTCCCTCCCATTAAGAAGTGGCATGTGGGGCTGGAGAGATGGCTCAGCAGTTAAGAGCTCTTGTTGCTCTTTCAGAAGAGCTTGACTGAGTTCCTAGAACCTATGTTGTGTGGTCTGCAACAACCAGAGGATCCAGTGCCTTCTTTTTGTGTGCTCAGGTACCACATGTACTTGGTGCATATACATACATGCAGACACCTGCACACACATATAAAACAAGTAGTCTTAAAAGAAAACAGAAGTGGGCCAGGCAGTGGTGGCTCCCAGTACTCAGGAGGCAGAGACAGGTAGATCTCTGTGAGTTCGAGGCCAGCCTGGTCTACAAGAGCGAGTTCCAGGAGGACAGTCTCCAAAGCCACAGAGAAACCCTGTCTCGAAAAACCAAAAAAAAAAAAAAAAAAAAAAAGAAAAAAGAAAAAAAGAAAGAAAGAAAGAAAACAGTTTGAATTGTGGTGTAGACTGACTCTATGTGACAGTTTGAATTATGGTGTAGATTGACGCTGTGTAAGTGACACTGTGTGGCTGGCTACTGAGAGTAAGTCTGAATGGCATTTAACCTGGTTCTCTTAGACGATTAGTTACTGGGATCCAGTGAGGATGCCCCAAATTATCTTTTGAAGTGAGACCACCATGGAGAAAACACATGGCTATTCCAGGCAACAGCTTAGCTGAAGACAAAGCCGCTCACCAGGAAAACCTAGCAAGTGTCTGAGTTTAGAAGCTTCCAGATGAACTTAGCCCTGGCCACTGAGTCGTTGGCAGCCGTTGAGACTTTGCAGTTGAGGCTCCAGACATCTCGGAGCCATCTCCCCAGTACTCTCTCTCTCTCTCTCTCTCTCTCTCTCTCTCTCTCTCTCTCTCTCTCTCTCTCTCTCTGAATGTCTGGCTCCCAGAATCTGTGATCTTTTTTCTTTTTTCTTTTTTCTTTTTTTTGGTTTTTCGAGACAGGGTTTCTCTGTGGCTTTGGAGGCTGTCCTGGAACTCTCGCTCTGTAGACCAGGCTGGCCTCGAACTCCCAGAGATCCGCCTGCAGAATCTGTGATCTTAATAAAATGCAATTGGGATTAAAGCCACAAAGAGGTACCACTCACTACCGTGGCTACGGTGTCATGTGCAGATGAGGGCAGGGGGGAATTTATAAATGAAGCGCTGAAGGCATGTTAAAGGCTCCTGTTCAGGGGTGGGCTTTGGGGGAAGTGACTGGAACATGACAGTGTTGACATCATTGTGGATTCACCCACTGCTGGACTCACAGTTAAATGGACCTACTGGGAGATGGCGAGTATGGTAGAAGGAGGGGCCTGATTGGATGGAAGGAGTCAGTGATGCCATGCCTTTGAAGGATATACCCTGTCCCAGGTTGGTCTCCCTCCCTCCCACCCCCTTCCCAGCCCCTCTATCCCTTTCTTCTTCCAAGAGGGGAAACAGCTTTCTCTGTCATGTGCTACTGCCTCGATGTTCTGCTTTACTATGTCCCCATGCTAATAGGACAAAATCCTTTGAACCATGAGCAAAAGTAAACTGTTCCAGCTGGGCGTTGGTGGCGCACGCCTTTAATCCCAGCACTCAGGAGGCAGAGGCAGGCAGATCTCTGTGTGCGTTCAAGGCCAGACTGGTGTAAAGAGTGAGTTCCAGGACAGCCTCCAAAAAAAGTAAACTGTTCCTCCTTTAAGTTAACATCTCCAGGTAATTGGTCACAACAACAAGAAGTTGACTTTTTAAAGCCTGATGTTGACTTTTTAAAAGCACATGCCATTAAAAGTTGAGTTTTTAAAGCACAACCATATAATCCCAGCACTCGGGAGGCAGAGGCAGGTGGACCTCTGTGAGTTTCAGGCTAGCCTGGTCTAAAGAGTGAGTTCCAGGACAGTCAGAATTATACAGAGAAACCATGTCTCAACAACAACAAAACCGTAGTGAGCTGTGACTGGTGAATGAAGTATGATTCTTTAACAAAGCAG